GAATCAGGGTGGGAAGGGTTAAGGATTGGAGAGACAATTACTTCCAATATTTTTTTTCCCTGTATCTGGGGGAAGAGAGGGATGTGTTCTGTCTGCCATTGACTGGTTGGACTGTCCAGGGGAGTGAGACCTAGGAGAGTGAGGGGAGCTGGGCAGCTGCCTGATGGCCAGGAGCGAGTTAGGCTGGCCTCAGTGGTCCTGGCAAAGTGCCTGAACCAAGGCAGGAGGCTGTGGGTGCCCTAGGTGCAGGAATAGTGCCACAGAGTGAATGTTTGTACAGTGACGGAATTCGGGCTGCAAGGGATTAAGAGGTGGGGCTTTGGGAGGTGCCAGGGGAAGTGTCACCATGGGAGACACAGCATCTGTCTCTTCCTGCAGGGGAGGACTTGGCGACATGACAAGCCAGCGTCTGGGAAGCAGCCTGAGGCCCTCCCTGGACACTGAGCCTGCAAGTGCCCTGACCATGGCGTTTTGAACTTCTAATTGTAAGTGGACGTTTCTGTCTATAAATTGCCCAATCTAAGTCATTTCATCACAGTCCTGACACCCTAAGCCAGATGACCTGGGCTCTGGCGTTTCAGAGAGAGAGAGAGAGAGAGAGACAGACAGACAGACAGACACTGACTCTTCTATCCGTTGGCTCACTCCACAAATGCCAGTGTGGGATCGTGGCCATCCCAAGGGCTGGTGTAAGCACTGCGAATCCATGCCCCAACGTGCGGATGTGACAATATTTTTGCATAAAAATCTTTTCCTGCACCCTTCCTGAAAGTTCCACACCCTTTTTGAAAGTCTCCTTATATTGAATCTCTGATGAAAAACACATTCAAATTCTTGAGCAGGAGCCCCAGGAATAGCCAACATTCAGGAAGGGCTTCGGAAGCTTCTCGGGGGGGGGGGGGGGATGGGGGACATTATCCAATGAAAGGGACAGCCAGTCACCCTTCAGCCAAGGACCCGGCGTGTGCACGCTTGGGGAGTGAATCATCGGATGGAAGATCTTCCTCTCTGTCTCTCTTCCTCTCTGTGTATCTGCCTTTCCAATAAAAATAAATAAATCTTTAAAAAAGAAAGCTGAGGTTGTGGCAGGCTCCTGCCACACACCTTGGGGCACCTGGGCTGGCTCCTGGTTGGCATCTGTGTGGTACACTAGTGGGTTGCAGCTCTCTCTGCCTCAGTTATCGTCAAGATTGCTTTTGATCATCCTGTTCCTTCAAAGCCAAGAGGATGCTGCTTCGTAGAAGCATGGCCTGTGAGAACATCTGCCCTGAACCGTTGCTTTTGCAAGCTGGCTACCTGGAAGGATTATTTAGGCCTGGGAGCAAATTTGTTGGTTTTTGGGACTGTCTGAGACGCAGAGGTCCTCCATCTGCTGGCTCGCACCCCAGAGGGCCCCAGCGGCTGGGGCTGACCTAGGCTGAATCCAGAAACTCCAGCCAGGGCTGTTACAGGAGTGGCAAGGACCCAAGTACCTGGGCCGCCATCCACACATTTCCCAGGCCATGAGCAGGGAGCTGGATGGGAAGTGAAGTAGGCAGGACTCAAACCAGTGCCCACACCACAGGGTACGCCCCCTGGAGGTCAGTTTTTATCATGTGTGTTATTTCCTGGCACGTGTACACGAGGTTGGTATGCGCCAGCTCAGCTCCGCCCTAAGACTTCCCCTGTTGCACTTCAGAGCTCTGGGCGAGAAGGGGCCCACTTTGCATGTGATCTGCAACACTTGCCTTGAAGGTAAGCCCTGCCTAGTTTTAAAAAAGATTTATTTGAAAGGCAGAATTAGCTAAATGCACACACAGAGCGAGAGATCTTTCATCTTCTGGGTCACTTCCCAAATGGCTGCAATGGCCAAGGCTGGGCCAAAGTCAGAACCTCTACCCCGGTCTCCCTCTTGGGTGGCAAGGGCCCAAGCACTTGGGCCATCCTCCACTGCTCTCCCAGGAGCATTAGCAGGGAGCTGGAGTGGAAGTGGAACAGCCAGGACTCAGGCCCATGCGCATGTGAGGTCGGCTTCAGAGGTGGTGGCTTAACCCACCGTGCCACAACCCTACTGTAACTCACTCCGATACGAAGGTCCCTGCCACCCAGGTGGGAGTCCCAGCTTGAGACCCCGGCTCTTGGTTATTGGGGGGCATCAGGAATGTTTCCTCTCTGGGTCTAGTCTCTCTCTCAGACAGCCCTGCCTTGATGAGCAGCCTGGCCGAGTCTGCATTCCCAGGTGTTCCCCGTCCCACCACAGGCCCAAGATGGCTCCCGTACCCCCCTGCACAGCAAGAATCACAGTACATCAAAATGTCTTTTATTTGAGACACAAAAAATGCAAAATCGCTGAGATATCAAACATGTCCCGACCAGCTACGGTAAGTGCTGCTATGTACAACAGAGGTGACGGAGGCGCGCACCCCGAGACACCGTGTGCCGCCTACGTGCAGTGCGTGTGCGACACGGATGGCACCCAGACAGGCGGGGGTGAGGTCAGAGGTGCAAACAGCAGGGACAAAGGCAGCATGGTTTTTGTTTTAAAAACAACACGAAGGCAACAACGAATGGACCCCCGACTGCCATCACTGTTGCTTCACCGAGCAGGGCCCCGTGCACTGGTATCTTTCTTCTTGTTTTCATAAAGTGAGATGCTAAGACATAATGTGATGATGAAAATAAGAAGAGAAACACCTATCATTGCATTTCTATTGCAAGCAAGAAACCTAATTCCTACAAGGGGGAAACCCCTTATATTTACTACCGAGTATGTATTCTTAAAACAGCTCTATGCTATTTTACATGAAGACGATAGAGAAATATCTACATCTTTGTGAAAATTATAACCTTAAGTGTATAATACGTTTTTTTTTTGGGACTGATTTTGAGATCTTACTAGTCTCAAATTTTAAATAAAAAGTGCCTCCTTTTGGCAAATACTTGGCAATGCCTTTGGTTCCTTTTAAAACAAGTGTGCATTACTCTTGGTTACTTGAGGTCCAGTACTTGTGGTAGAGACTAAATCCTTTCCTGAATGCTTCCTCTTCCTGCCCTTACAGCATCACGCAGAGGTAACTGTTTGAGTTGTAGGGATTTCTCTACCCTTGGTGAAAGCTCCGTCCCAGGGGTTGGCACCAAGCTCTGTTCCACCTGCGGCTGTGGCGGCGGCTCCCGTCACGGCCTCTAGTTGACCCTGGACAGCACCTTGGGATCTGAGATGGCCATTCTGTTGTCACAGAACTGTGACATTTCTCCATCAGGATTCACAGAGCAGTGTGTGGAGGGTAAGAGCTCTTTTTGTAAACATGTGCAGCTTTTTGAATTACAGGCCTAAAACCCGAGTGCGGACAGAAGATCGTCGCGACAGGGCGTCTCCTTGGACAGGAGGGGCAGGTGAGTGGTGACAGCCACGGGCCCGCTCAGCGCCAGGCTGTTACCTGAGACACGCAGTGCGGCCAGGAAGGTGGGGAGGAGCGAGTCAAGGTGGGACTCCCAGACAAAGCACGTGTGCTCCCAGTTGTTTTCCAGTTCTGGGTGGAATCCCACAGGGAGGGAACTGCAGCTCTGGGGCTGGAGGGGCTGCCCTGCCGGCACACGTGTGTGCTCAGGAGCCCTGGTCCTTGAGAACCCTCACCTTCCAGTTACTTCGCTAGTTCTGGACTCACTGTGACCCTCCAGGGAGGGGGACGATGGGTGTTTGGTGTCTGTTGCCAGCACTCGCCATTTGTGTGTAAGTGACAGCAAGTAGGATTGGGCTACACTGAGCCGTGTGGCCCGGCTGGCAGGTACTGAACAGCTGTTCTTGACCTTGCTCTACAAAGACTGCCATGCTCCCCACGTGAGCGGCAGCCCAGAGCTCACAGCTCTGTGCGAGGGCATGCCGATCCTCGCAGGGACCTTGCTGGAGCTCAACTCCTATGGTCTGCTTCCGCCCCTAATGCTCTGGGGCACCTTTAGTGATAAAATGAGGAACTGGTCTGTGTGGGCACCATCTGGTGGCCATGACCTTGCCCGCCTGGGTCTGTCTCTACTGCTGGTGGCCTAGCAGTTCTGACAAGTCCAGGAGTGTCTGTCTGCAGATCACAGAGCCATGTGGGTTTGAGAAAAGGCAGTTAAAGGAGATCTCTCTAGGATCACAAGAAGATCCCTATGAAACACCAGTAGTATCCAAGCAAGAAACTCCACAAACTCAGAACACAGCTGCGCACACATGCGGTGAGCACCACCCAGTGGACTGCGTGTCTCAGGGAACATACACCACCAATGCCTGCCAAGGAGGGCCCTGACAGGTGCTCTGCTGACATGCACCACACGCCCACACCTTGGGGGAAGGGAGCTTGGCTGGGACACGGCCTCTCGTCCTATTCCAGAAGATGAGCCACACCCATGTCCCGCAGGGAGGAAAGGCTGATTCCACTGTGCCAGAGGAGCAGAGAACCCACGTACACAAGTCAGGATTACGGCAATGCAAGGTACCGGGCAGGAGGGGACAGCACTAGGCGGGCTGAGGCCGCCTCCCATCCCACTGACATTGATGGAGAGGATGCTCAGAGACCCAGTACAGAGCCACAAGCCCCAGCCAAGAGCTGACCTGAGGAAGGGGTCGGCCTATGGAGGAGACAGAGTTGACCGTGCTCCCGTGGCCAGCTCACTGGGCTTGCTCAGGGATGGGTGGGAGGGGAGGATTTGGTCGACAGAGCAACCGCACCCTGTGTGTTGCGTGACTCGCCGTGACCCACACAAGGTGGGCACCACGGGGTGTGGGAGCTTCTGCCTCCTCCACATGTAGGTCCCCTGAAGGAGCCCCCAACAGAGCATGAAGCAGAGGCGGGACGCATGCGCAGACCAGGCTGCCTGCCGCCAAGCGATCCCCACGTCCTTTCTACAGAGTGAGTCAGGTGTCTCCGGCAGGCCGCTGGGGACTGTCCGCCAGGGAGTGACCTCGGGGTCACATGGGGTGAAGAGGAGAGCATGGTAGCACAGTACTATGACAGGACACTCTGCTAGAGCTCAGTTTTCTGTGCAGATAATGACATATTATCATATTTAACTGACTAGATTTTGGAAATGCTGTGAGTTGGCAGTTAGGAAATTCTTAAACTACTCAACAAATATATAATAACTCCCCCCCCCCCCATATATTAAAAAAGAAAAAGTAAAACCTCCAGTTTTCTACTGTTCGGCTTGACAGACTGCCGTCCAGTTGGGAGCCTGTGAAGTGCTGGCCAGGGGTTGGGGCAGGGAGGACAGCCAGCCTTACTGGGGCAGGGACCGTGCGCGTCCCGGGGCTGTCCTCGGCTCTCGAAGGACTGTCCCCTCACCTCCCACCCTGCTCACGCTCTGGCTCAGAATGACATTTTGTGCCAAAGCCTTACCCCGGTTCTTTGAGATGGATCTGGTTACCTGAAAGTCAGCAATTCTTCACACACACAAATACATGTGGCTCAAGTTCTCTTGAGAGAGCTGGGTTAGTAAGAACAAGGAAGACCCCTGGGTACCCATTTCCTTACCCCCGTGTCGGCTGTAGGGATGACGTCAGAATGTCCACGAGACTGTCCAGTGGACAGAGCGAATGCAACCCAAGCCCCGGAGGGCGGCCCCCGGCCTCAGGGCTGTCGGCGCCTGGACGCTGTGCAGTGCAGTGCCTCTGTCAGGATTCTGTAGACATCTACGGATTATAAAGGAAAGCTCTCCCATTTAAGCTTAACTTTGGAAATCTAAGTATAAAACGATTCCAAAAATCACAAAATTAACTACAACACAAAAAACTACACAGGTTTCTGAATGGAACCCAAAGTCCTTAGCTAGAGGCCGTCCCGGAGCCGGCCAGCGCCCTCTGTGGCTGCTGAGCCCTGCTGTGGCCCCAGGAAGCGCACCTGCGGCCCCGGCACCTCCCTCACACTGGCCTTGGGTTTGGAGTGTAGCTGTCTGCCTGACTGAGTCTTGCAAGTGGCCGCGTGTAGAATCCTGGTGCGGTGATCCTGCAGCGTGGAAGGCTCGAGAAGCGGCTGCATCTTCTCTGTCTAGTGTTGCAGAAGGCCCCACGCTACACTGCATTGTGGAAATTCACCGCGGACGCAATGAAAGGTTTTCACACTTGGTTTCCAGGCTATCACCTTCCATCTCTTTGTTCTGTGACAATGTATTTTAATTGCAATAATGCAACTATGGCTCTATCTCTAGAAGCTGACCTGTTACTCTTCCTTGTGTTCTAAAACCTGGCGAACCCCAAGACAAGAACCCTGTGGCATTAGTCCCACGGCAACGGGAGGTCTTGTGGGTCGAGAAAGTCAGCAGAGAACATACTTGGCCCCGAGGATGTGCTGGGCATGGTGATGTCCAACCATTCCATGTTGTCTAAGGTGGAGTCCGAGAGGTCGAGAGACAGGCAGGGGGTGCCCGCTGCAAACTGGCTCTCAGAAGTCTCCATGGGTGAATGTGAGTGGTCCAGGACACTCGGGTGGCTCAGCAGGTCCGTGGGGAGGCCCTCGATCAGGGAGAAGGGCTCTCGGTCTTCACCGTTGCTTTGTAGTGGAGCAATGTCACTGGGTGAGGGTAAAGTTCCGTCCAGGAAAGCTTCTAGTTGGTTCTCTAAGCTGTTCAGGGGCTCCAGGGCAACAGGGGGCGCCATCTGGACCTGGGGCGGTGGCCGGGACACTGCTGTGTTGACGGGCATGGTGGTGATGCTGGCGGTCACTGGTCTCATTTTGGAAATAGGAGAGGGCTCCTCTTTGATAGGGAGAGAAATCTCTGCAAATTGAAGGAATTACTGTGTTAATAGTGACCTCTGAAACATTTTCGTTAACTAGCTATCATTGCATGCTACTGGAATACTGGGCAGGGACGATCCTGGATAGTGTTTAGGGGACGTTTAACAGGTGGGTTTATTGTATTTCGGTAAAGCTTTGAGTTCTTTTTATTAACACCAAAGCAGCTATACCCCGCCAGACAGGAATGTGTGGTCTCAAGACTCTTTTCTCTTCAGTCCCTGTTCTTTGTCATTTAGGACTTTAAGATGGGCCTGGGCCTCAGCGATTCCAAGACCCTGCACTCACACAAGATGTGTGTCAGCATGCGGACCCTGGGTCTGTGTAGAGATACCAAGGGCAGCCTTGAGGCTGGGACAGATCGACTTTCTAATCACTGTAGTTGGAACTCTGCCCAAGGCAGCTGTGTAAGTTCTGTGTAAAGTTCAGAGTTCGGACAGAAAACTCACAGGGCGCTCTGCCTTGTCCTGGCACGTGATCACATGCTTGTTTCACTTTCTGAGCTTAAAGCTTGCAGATTTGGCAAGCATCTAATTAGGCATCAATTCTGTTACTCCCTGTCAGAAGTGCAAGTTGCTGGATCGTCTGCCAGAGGTGCTGACGTCCCCCGGGCACACACGGAATGAAGTGGCCGCTTCACTCTGTGATACAGCTGGTTTCCTCCATATGCATGTAATTAGGAATGATGATTAAGATCGCACTTAGAGCTCCATCATCAAGCATAAGTAGGTAAGAGAGAAAGACTTACGTTTTGATTTCCATAAATGTATTAACTATGTATTGCATGTATTTTAAAGGCAGTTTGTTCCTTTTTATTATTGTTATTTTTAAAGATTTATTTACTTTTACTGGAAAGGCAGATATACAGAGAGGAGGAGAGGAAGATCTTCCATCCGATGGTTCACTCCCCAAGTGACCACAATGGCTAGAACAGAGCCATTCTGAAGCCAGGGGTTCTTCTGGGTCTCCCATGTGGGTGCAGGGTCCCAAGGCTTTGAGCTGTCCTTGACTGCTTTCCCAGGCCACAAGCAGGGAGCTGGATGGGAAGCAGGGCCTCTGGGATTAGAACCGGCGACCATATGGGATCCCGGCATGTGCAAGGTGAGGACTTTAACAACTATGCTATCGCGCCAGGCCCTCCTTTTTATTATTTATAGTCATCTCTGGGATTGTGTTGGAAGCTTTAAACACAATCTAAGTTACTAGTTTTGAATTGAGAATTTCAACCTTGGTCTTCATTTTTATTGATATATCTATACAAAAAAGATGAACTAATATCCCCCAACAGTTATTTTGTCAAAAGCAAATTTTCTCTTTATGACCATTTGCAGTTATTTCTGAATCTCCAAGTTTAGATAATGGAAATAATTCTTATTAACCACTTAAAAATCTGGTCTTTGGAGCTGGCCTCGCAGCATGGCATGTTAAGCCACTGCCTAAGACTCCAGAATTCCATGTGGGAGAATCAGCCACTCCATTTTTGATCCAGCTCTCTGATGATATGCATGGGACAGCAAAACATGGCTCAAATGCCTGGACCCTGCACCCCCATGGGACCTGGAAGCAGCAGATAAACCTCCCTTCTTAAATAAATAAATAAAATAAATCTTTAAGATGATGATCTTATCTTTACCAGATTTTGGTAGAAACATTGAAGTCAGTGTGTGGAGATGTCTCCCTTTTTCTTAAAGTCACAAATTGTGTGTGTGTATGTGTGTGAGAAAGACTTTCAACAGAGATCAAGGCAGATTGCAGAGGGAAGGACAGAGAGCTCTTGCAGCCACTGACTCAGTCCCCAAACGGCTGCAGTGGCCGGAGCTGGCTGGTCTGCAGCCAGGACCCTGGAACTTTTCCAAGTTTCCCACATGGGAGTAGGGCCCCCGGGAACTTGGGCTGTACTCCACTGCACAAAAGGAGGGAGCTTGGTCACAAATGGAGCAGCCAGCCTGTGAAGCAGTGCCTGGATGGGAAGCCAGCAGCACAGGCAGAAGCTCAGCACAGTATGCCAGGGAGCTGGCCCCCAGATACGTCTGTTTGTAAAATTTCTGTAGTCTAGATAGTCATGGGCGTAGATAACTCTGTAAGACCAATTTCAAAAATGCTATTTGCATGTAATGACTATAGTCAGATATCAAGATTTCTCCATGTTAGGCCAAACATTATCACTAGAGTACCAAAGTCCATACAAAATAGTACTTGCTCTGAATGGAGAAATTCAAGTGCAATTAAAAACATTCAAATAAAATGTCTTACATGGGGTAATTTAAGAATACTTAAAAATAATGCTAGATAGCCTTTGCATTTTTTTCAAGTACCAATTTTATAATGCTTTGTAAAGACATGTCAGCTGAGGTGGAGATGTCTGACTTTTCTGTGACTAAAACATCCTTCTTTATATGACAGGAAAAAGGTGCTCCTTCATTCACCGCCTTTCAATTTTGGTAGTGTGATCAGAGCCCAGGCTCAGACACGACGGGACTGTCTTCAGCCCGTCATGGCACTTGGAGGTTTTCCACGTGGATTTAGAACATGGCTCTGTTCTACTATCTGGCAGTGCTTAGTTGGCTACAGATAAATGTAATGCCAAGCTGTCATCCTAAGCGGAATCAGATGCGTGGCCTCCCTTTGTGGCAGGTGGTTCTAATGCAGCTTCTCCGGTGTCTGGCAGAGCTGCGAGCTGGTGTCCGCTGGTGCCCGCTGGAGCTGGGCCGTGAGACCTACCTCCGCTTTTAATGAGGATGTCAAAGAGGTCATCCATCTGCTGACTGTGGGCGCTGGGAACCTGCGAGCAAGGAGACAGAAGTCAGCTTGCTGTCCTACCAGCCTGGAAGCGTCACGCTGCCGGGAGCACCTAGTTCTACTCGCTTGCATTGAGGCGTGCATGCATGAAGATGATCATACCAGATGCACAAAAGGCTGCATGTTTTACGTCTACCATTTGGTAAGTTCTGACGCTGCCATTCTCCTGGGAAATCACCGACCGCAGTGACGAACATGCCCCTCCCTCCTGCCGCCTCCTCCCCCCAGCTCTTTCACTGTGGATTACTCTGATGTCAGTGGAGTCACACAGGGTATACTCTGGCTCCTCTCAGCCTACTTGTTTGGAGGCCTATTGACGTTACAGGAACATCTTAGAATAGCTCATTCCTCTTTATTGCTTAGTAGTATTCCATTGTGTGGAAATGCCACAGCTTATCCATTTTTGGATGGATGTTTTGGTTCTGAGGATTCTGATGTTACAAAAGTCACTGTTCTGTAAAGACCTGAGCTTCTTTTTCTCTTGGGTACACTTGGGAATGGAATGAACAGGTCCACAGGGCAGGTGTGCGCCTGACATAGAGACAGTCCCAAACTCTTCAACAAGGACTGTACATCTCCGTGCACCCCTGGGAGCTGTGGGTCTCCAGGTATTCTACAGTCTCACCACATATTGTATGGGGAGTGGTTCCGCAGTCTTTGGGGTGTAGTGGTGCTGCACTGTAGTCTTCATTTGCTCAACGACCAGTGATGCTGAGCATCTTCTTAGATATCAGGATCTTACGCTTGCTGCTGGCAGTGTGGATGTGACCTCGGCGTCTACTTCCACTCCAGGTCTTTGTACTGGACATGCTTTTCGTGGATGCATGTGTCAGCTATCTATCACTGTACTGAAAACATGTCCCCAAACCCAGTGTCCCGCTCTCTGTGGGCTAGGAAATCAGAATGGTTTGGTCAGGACATTAGTTGGGCTACGCTAAACTCAAGGATTGGCTGGAGAATGGCCATGGAGAATAAGCGTGGCTTATTGACCTGACTGGCAAGTCGGTGGCAGCTGCTGAGGCAGAGCCTAAGTTCTTGTCCCTAGGTGGCCAGAATGTTCAGTAATTAATGGTAGGTTTGGGTTTACCATTTTATTTGTTATTGTCATTTTTGGTTCATTCCTTACTGTCTTAAACTTGGAGCTATCATTATATTCTTGAATCTTATAATAACGTGCACATTCCTAAATTTTTTTTAGCAGTTACTTAAACTTACTGCTGTACCACTGCATAGAAAAGATTCACTGGGTCCTCTTCCATTCTTTATTTGAAAGGTAAGAGTGTCAGAGGGAGAAAGATCTGCCAACTGTTTTACTCATGCTAGCGAGGGACGCCAGCCAGCCTCCCGGGTGAGTGACAGGGCTCCAAGTGTCTGGGTCCCTGTCCGCTTTCCCACATGCATCAGCAGGGAGCTGGGCAGGGACCCTGAGGAGCACAGATACGGGATGCTGGTGTCACAACTGCAAGCTTCACGTGCTAGGCCTCAATATGGGCTCCACAGGGTTTTTTCTTTTTTTTTTTTTTTTAAATCAGTTTTATTGATTCATATAAAGCAAATGCATTTCACATACTTTATGATACAGATTTAGGAGCATAACAACAGCTGCCACCACACCCTCTCTCCTGTCTGCAGTCTCCACCTGTCCTCTTCCTTCCCTACTTTCCCTTTCTTTCTACCTATTTTTTTTTAATTTATTTATTTTTTTTTATTGTTGCTTACATTGTATTATGTAGTACAGTTTTATAGGCGCTGGGGATTCCCCCCACCCCTCCCATACCCCTCCCTCCATGGTGGATTCCTCCACCTTGTTGCATAACCATAGTTCAAGTTCAGTTGAGATTCATTGCTTGCAAACACATGCCTAGCATGAAGTTCAGCGTCTTATTGTCCAGATAAGTTCAGTGGCCTCTTGGGGAGACCTTCTATGGTCTGAAGATAGGTCTAACAGAGTAAAGATCCGGTCAGTTAAAAGCCCCAACAAGGCCTCAATATCAATATACAACATTATGGAATTAATTGACATAGTATTGGGTAAACAATATGTTAAAAATAATGCAAGTTCCATTCTTCGAAACCTCTGGGTTGAGACAGTATCAATGACAGGTTCAAAAAATAACAAACAACCATACAAAAATTACAGGTTAAATCAAGGCAAACATGTGGTATCTAATCTTTTGGGATTCACTCATTTCCCTTAGCATTATAGTTTCCAGTTGTGCCCATTTAGCCACAAAGAACTGCATTTTGTTTTTTTTAATAGCTGAATAAAATAATTTTTAATTTTCCTTTATTTGAAAGAGACATACATGCATGAAGGGATAGACTTCTCTTAATGCCTGCAGCAGCTGAGGCTGGATCAGGCCAATCTGTTAGGATCTCCCACGAGGGTGGAAGGGCCCAGTCACTTGAGCCATTACTTCTCACACCCAGGGTGCACATTAGCAGGACTCAGAATGAGGTACTGTGAGAGGAGATGTGAGTGTCCAAGGGTCTCCTCTGCAGTAAGAAAATGCCTTCCCCTCACTTTCACTCCTAATGCAGAATGCTGGTTGATGAACTATCTCCCTTACAACTTCAAAACACAGTCACACCTCCCCTTATTTCCACAGTTGACACTACTCAGGCGGTCTTTTGCCCATGTTTATTGCTTGTCTTTAACCTTGCCTTTTAATAATGATTGTGTGGTAGCTGGGCCTTCTAGTTAGCCTGCAAGGTGCTTACTGAGCACCTCCAAGCTGTAAATTTGTCTTATAATCTATGGAATTTTTGGCCATTCTTTCATACCTATTTATTCATCCCAGTCTCTTTCCCCTTTGACTGTTCTATCTATGTTAAACTTTTGGATGATAGGGCCCAGGCTCTGTTTACTTCCTAAAAATTCCTTCAGGGTCACAGTACAATGGGTTAAACTACTGCCTCCTTCCCATATGCATGTTGGCTTGAGTGAGTGTCGGCCATTCCACTTTCTAGGTAGCTCCCTGCTGGGACCCCTGCAGGAAACAAACATTCCCAGGATGTGGTGTCTCATAAGTACCCTCTGTGTTAGACCATGAGCCCAGACCTATGTTAAAAACGAGGCAGAAGACAGAGCTGTTGGATTCAGTGGGCAGCATTCGTGACCCCGCAGTGTTGCATGGGTGAGTGTCATTTTGGTGTTTTCTAACTGCAGTTAAGCTCCTGGTGTTTGGCTCACCTGTGCTCCCCATGGAGGTAACCAATGCCCCTTCAGAAGGGACCGTCGGGAGGGGCAGTGGCCTCCAGCACACCATCTGCCCATTCTTACTCAGATGGCTCACCCTATTTCTAGAAGCTGTCTTTTCCGTCTGAGCTAGGAGCCCTTGAGTCTGACGGGCATTTTACAGCTGGGAGAGCTGTCTTTCCCCAGCAGGAAAATGCATACAGGAAGCATATACTAGCTTTGCTCTCTCTGGGCATTGCTGGTCATCCTGTGCACCCTGTCCCTAAGACAACGGAGCAGGTCAAACTAGGAAGCCTTGCTTTGCTGCCAGCTGCAAAAAGTGCTGAGTCCTTGGCCCCACATCCCTTAGCAGTCATCTGGTACAATGCTGCGGTAGCAAATGACAAACAGTGGGCTAAGACCTGCTCCATCTCTTCCACTTGGCAGCACCCATGAGGGACTGGAGCATCCTCCCTGAGCCTGGGGCCCTTCCTTGGAGGTGAGCTAGCTGGAAGCGTGGCAAGGAGGCTGAGAGCCGGAGAGACTAAGAGGGATATTTAGGGCAGTGGATGACAGGTGCTGTGGTCAGACGTGACTGACAGGAGCTCTGTCTCCAAGCCTTGGAGGAGCTGCAGCTACCTGGGGTTTAGCAGTGTGACCAGGCCGGCTCAGAGAGGCAGTCAGTCCCCTGCCTGTGGCGCATGGGCATCATCAAAGCTGGAGAGCCAGGAGGTCACCTGGGAAGTGACATGTGTTCATCTGTAAGCAGTCACTTGCAAGGCTGGCCTGTGGGGGCAGTCATGCATATCCACCAGAACGAAGTGTCAGTCTGCAGCTGGCCTGACAAATGGCAGATTTAGGAAAGAGGGACCAGTATAAAACATGGGCCCTGGTCACCTTACACCCATCCCTAAGATGACCCATCCCTAGCCCTGAGGACAATTTACAAGACAAATAGCAAGTTTTGGAGAAAGGGAGGCGAGTCAGCCTTAAACCATGGATCTGGGATGGGCAGAGGACGCATGTGGGGCTCCAAGCTCGCTCACTCACCTCTGGCAGGGCTGAGTGGGTGTTGCGGGTCTGCTTGATGGCCTCCTCATAGCGGGGAGGGGCTTTGGTGGTGACTGGGCTCCCGAAAAGAGAGTGCTGGACGACAAACTGCTGGGGTGGAGGGGGTGAGCTGGGCTGCAGCAAACAGAAGGGGAGCCGGGTGAGCTGGGCAGTGAGCGTCCCTGCCCTCGCTGACCTGCCCGTGACAGCCAAAGCACGGAAGGCACAGTAGGCACCAGGACAGCGCAGCCTGCCAGCACCGCCCAGCACGTGCTGTCAGCATCTCTCCCATCACCACTGCCACGCCGCCCTCCAGGCCTCCAGCCCAAGTGAGTGGGGGTTACCTTGGTGGGCGGGGGTGGCCCATTCTGCAAGGATGGAGGCGGAGCGTTTCTGGGCTGCAGGGGAGTGGGGGCACTGACGAAGGGCGGCTGCGCGGCGGGCGCCTGCTGTCTCTGATATGGAAGCGCTGTGTTTGGGGCCGCGTTGGTGAAAACCTGTTGTGAAGAAGCACTTCTGTGAGTCAGCTCTTGTGCTTTTCCTAGTGAAGGGAGCCCTGTCTTAAAGCTGCAGTGAGCAGTGTTTTCTGCAGACAACCATGCAGGTGCTATGGAAGCCAGGGGTGTTTCTTACCACACCAGCCGGCAGGCCCTGGTTTGCTTGCCCATAGGTATTTCCGGTATGACTGGTCCCTTTTTAGGAGCTTGTCTGTGAAGGCCGCACAGATGGTGCATGCTGCTCCTCACGGTTCTCAAGTGGCAGCTGAACATCCTGCACTGGCCTCCACCCTCACTCCCAAGTCCTCCCCAACATAGCAACTCTCAGATGCTCCAAATCCAACTTTCCTTCTTCCTCTCACTCCCCCAGGTTCCCCACTCGGCTTCGTTCCTCATGTCTACAACCCAAGGTGAAAGGCGCCGTGCTCACCTCTGCCTCCCTATTCGGCACTCCCGTCGCATCAGGCAGCCGTCCCTGACGCCCTCCCCAGGTCCCACAGGCTTCCCTCCCTCCAGGAACCCTCAGCTTAGAGGTAAGCACAGGTCTGAGCCATCCCCCACGACATTCCTGGGCTCTCCTGCAGAGGAGGTGAAATCTTAGTCACTGGTTGGCAGTAAAGGCTTCTTAGCACTGCCGCCTCTCTGCTACCCGTGGCTGCACTCAACTTTCCAGTTCCTTGAACTGCAACCACATGCTAACTTCCAATCTCCCTCTTCTGAGCAATCATCAGGCGGGGAGCTCTCTCCTTCCTGTGGACCTGCACAAAGTTCTGCTCTGCCCCCGACGACAGCCTTTTCTAGCCATGAACTCAGCTCACGGGAAATGTGTTTCCTTTCAGGTTCCCACAATCATATCGAAGCTCTCGCAGATGTCCTCCCAAGAGAACATCCTCTGGATGCCGAGTTACACTCCCTGGGAATCGCCTTATGTTTAAATAGATAATATATATGTCATGTAAGGACTCCTCATCCTGTCAATAAACTGTTTTTCCTGTCTTCCCTCAAACTAAAGGAACCATCTTAAGATGTGAACATTTATGAGGAAATACACTAAACCAATTGCGGAGCTTTGCCCAGCTCCTTAACACACAGCTGGCATTCCTCCCTGACTCTGGCTGCTGAGGCGGTCCAACCCCACCGTTCACAATCCCCTGAGGCACACAGACAGGCACACCCCTTATGCTAAAGATTAAAAACTTGGGGGACAAATAATTCTCAAGATTTCACACCAGCTGCACCTAGTTAAGGGGCTCCCATTCTTCTGGCAAGGAGTGTGCAGAGCTCCACCTGCTGGATCGAGGGGCTATTTAACAACACACGTTTAACTTGAAAAAACATTTCACTTCAAAATTAGCATTCTTGGGAATACTCACGTTGAATTCACTCTGTATTTACTTGGAAAGGAAAAGGGTTGCCTGTGAAGCCACCTTTGTGATCTAAAAAGTTCTTTCCATAGCCCAGGTATCTGGGGAGCCTGCAGAGCAGCTGCTGGGAGGAGCAGCAAGCGGCCCAGGGGTGCTGAGTGTGTGGGCACCCACCTTTCTGGCTTGCTGCGGCGGAGTGAGCACATGCTGCTGGAAAGTGTCTTGCTTCTGTGGCACGGTGAGGCCTGGGGACAAGGCGGCAGGAGGGACCTGGGCAGCAGTTGCTATGGGGGGCTGGGGCTGGAGTCCTGCTTGTGGGGCGCTCTGGAACAATAATCAAAAATCAGTCTAACGGTCAGAATCAGATTTGGAATCAAGAGTTTAGATGTAGAAGCACCTTGGCCCTGATGCTTCTAAAGCACAGTGAGGCAACAAGCCAGTTATTCTCAGGGGTGGCTGAGATTTTCACTTGAAAATTAGGAAATCAAAATACTAAGAGCCTAGAGTAGCAATACACACTATACGGCAGATATCAGAATTCACTAGGTAGCGACAAGGAACTGCATGGCCTAACAGCCCATGTTCTGGCCTTCAAGCTCCAGCAGGTGCACTCTCTGGTGGAGCCAGTAATATGCCAGCTTGCCCACAGGGCCAGGATAAAACATGGCTCTTTCCTAGAACAGCAACTCGAAGATCTGGACCCAGCAATTTTGTTTTAAATACATCAAGCAGATGTTCAGCTTTACAGTGCCCTCTCTAGGTGAGCCGGGACAGGCCCAGAGCCAGCAGGCAGGGCTCAGGATGGTTCCTTTCTGCCCTGGCAGGTTTCTGGGGTGAGGCTAGGGCTCTGATTCCCTGAGGCCTGCATTTGCATATTTTGGTGCAAATAAATTATGAAATCCATGTAGTTTTCCAGAATTTACATTTTGTAGAAGCATTCTGAAGAATTTTTTTGTGGATGGATTTCAATTTTCTTTTGCATGGTAATAAATGTAGCTTTAAATTTCATTTTCCATTAACTTGCTGAAGTCCCCTCACGCACAGCTCAGACCCCAGTCTCACTGCTATGTCTGTGTCACAGCTTTCTTGGTGGAGGCATCTGCACACACACCAGCTCTGTCCTCCAAGGAAGCAGGCCTCGGCTGCCTTACCCAGAAACAGGCCACATCACCTGGGCCTTCGTCTGTAACAGCAGCATCTCAGATGGGTGTCGGTTCAGGTCCCATCTGCTCCACTTTGGATTCAGTTCCCTGCTATTGTGCCTGGGAAAGCAGTGCCAAATGGCCAGAGGACTTGGAACCCAGACACCCATGTGGGAGATTGGATGGCTTCCCAAGCTCCTGGCTTCAGCTTGGTCCAGCCTTGGCTTTTGCAGTCAGCTGGGGAGTGGACCAGCTGATGGAAGACCTCTCTCTAAAATCGTTGAATAGTAATGTAGCAGGGTAACACCCGTGTTTTGAAAGCCATGCCATGTGTGCCCGTGACGCCCCTGTGGATATCTAAACTGCCCAGGCAGTTCCACCGTGGGCAGCTTGTGACCCCCATGTGCTGGAAGGCAAACTGTTAAAAGATGCGCTGCCCACTGACCTGGAGCTTGAGGCCGCCTACTGGGAGCTGCACGGAGGTGACGCTGGAACCCTGGATGGACACGGGGAGCAGTAGCTGAGCAGTCTGGGTAGTGAGCAAAGCCTGGGACTGGGCAACCACAGCAGGTGCTGTCTGGCCCTGCGAGCTCACGTAGAACTGCGGCACGATGCTCTGCTGCTCCGCCTGGCCCACGGGGGCCTCCTGCTTGATGACCACTGCATTTTTGGCAATGAGGGCCTGGCCCCCTGAGTTGGAGCAGTCAGGGAGTGTGGTCTCGTCTTTGATGGAGGGGCTGATGCAGCCAGCTTTCTGGTCCGAGTTGTGGCCACTTGGAGCCGGGGCACCAGGCTGGGGCTCCAGGGGCCGCTGCTGCTGCTGCTGCTGGCTGCGCTTTTCCGCCTCCAGCTGCATTTTCAGGACTTCCACGAGCTTCTGCTCCTGCTCCAGCTTCCTCTTGAGCTCCTCAATCTGCTCCTCCTTCTCCCGGAGCTTGCGGTCCTTCTCGGCAGCATCCAGCTCTGGGCTGGGAAGGGTGCTGCTGGCGGGGCTCAGGCTTGCCTCACTGTTGGCCACCCTCAGGGGAGAGGACCGCAGGAATTGCGAGGGTGACATGATGGCCATGATCTCGGGGAAGGTGTCGGCCATGCTGGTGTCGTCGGTGCTGAGGCTGGACTGTTCGGAGGGTGAGGGTGAGATGGGCAGCGGGGAGGGGACCCCGTCAGCCTGTGCCACTTGATTGCTTCCGGCAGATGGCTGTTCTGCCTTGAACGCTGACCTGGCGGTGCTGGTCACGGTGTTCTGCAGTGCCGTAACTGGCAAGGTTGTGGTGACTTCTGCGTTACCAGCGACGATGGGTGTTGACGACCCTGCCACAACACTGGCAGCAGCCAGACCACTGCTGTTTACTTCCTGGTAAGGCTTCAGGCGTTCGATGAGGTCTGGTTTGGTGCCTGACACCGGCAAACCCCTTAATTTGAGTTCTGTCTTCAGTTCTGATACCTGGAGGCACAAATGAGACAGATCCTTGGGTACTGTTACCTTTGAACAAGTCTTCAGTACACAGTAATGCCCAATATTCTACAGTACACCGTAATGCCCAGTAGTCTATGGTACACAGAAGAGGTGGGAAGCAAAGCCTAAAGGTCCCTATTTGATGCCTGGAGCCACAGAGCACTCCAAAAAGCACTCTACAAGTAAACTTATTTTTGGTGCAAAATTTTTTTTGAAATCCACACATAGTTTTTTCATCATATGCATTTTGAAGACCATGGGCATTGTGTATGTGTGTTCCCTTGGTCTTCAACATAGGATAAAGTATAATTAATAAGGCACAGAAAGAGATGTAACAATTATCACAGGTATATAACTGGGGGATCTCTTTCAAGATACTGTATTGTATTCCCACTTCTTCCTGCAGCCACATGAGAGAATACTTACGGGTTTTATGTTTTCTCTTTGGCAGAGCTGAATGGCCAGCTTCATTGTGCTTGGTGGTCATTTTGAAGTAAAATAATTTACTGTGACCATAAGCACTGCATCACTTAAATAGCCGAGCCAATGACTAAGATGGCCACCAAATGCCCCAGGGTGTGTAGCGTGTAAGAGTGCTAAGAACCAGCTGGCTAACAGCTACCCTGGACACGGGGAACATTCACAGCCCATGGTGGGATGGAGCACAACTGCTTATCATGGGACCCAGGCCACTGAATTTAGAACCTCAGAATTTGATTTTCAGGCCATGGCTGGTGGTGGGTGTCTGAAATCATCAAAAGCTAAACTGAGGACACTGTTCAGCTGCTTTTCTAACAGTGCTGTTACTTACGTCTCTGTCAGATGACCAGGTGTTACCGCACACAGGGGGCTGGGGGCCAGTTTGCTTTTTGTTTTTAACATGCACACATGCACCTACAGAAGTGACAGAGTAGGGGTTTTGCAGGGTGATCTGTCTAAAGAACTAGCAGCAGGAATGACATCAGCTGCACTTACTGAACAGTGACCATGTGTAAGACACGGCTGGGAATCCCCTGCTCTTACCCCTAGTGCCCACGGGGCCCTGGGATCCTGTCACTACTGTTATTTTTTTTTATATTTTACAGATAAGGAGACTAAGAGAGGGCGTTGACCAGAGCAAACAGCTGCACTGGGACAGAGACCTAGAGAGTGGCCTGGAGCTGAGCTTCTACACTAGGACATTCTCCTGCTTCTCACACACTTGGCATTGAGCGGGAAACAGCAACAGCAGCATAGCCTCTGGAGAGGAGCGAAGCTGGCTGGTGCCCGCACGGGCTGCACGCTCAGCAGATGCTCATCTGAAAAGCAGCTCAGGAAAGGGAGCAGAACGCACCTCTGCAGAAGCGGTAACACCGACAGTGCAGTGGAGTGTCTACCTTGGATGAGCCGGGCAGTGCTGGGGGTGAGCTGGCCCTCCTCGGCATCCTCACCTTTAAGTCATCCAGGCTGGAAGGCAGCGGTCCTGGCTTTCTCGCAGGAGCAGATGTGTTCGGTCTTGGGGTGTTTGACGTGGAACTGTTCAAGGCTGAATTCCCACTGTTGTTATTTTTGTCGTTTCTTCAAAAGAAAAAAAAAACTAGAGTTTACAATAAAATAATTTATGGATCTGACATTACTTCTTTGTACAACTTAATAAATTGTGAAGAGAACAATATGGTTATGGTTGTAACACTTGAGATTGCAAAGTTGTCAGAATAGATCCCAGTGCCATCCTTGAGGGGCTGCTTTCGTTGGGCAGAAACGACGAGGCCGTTCTAGGCACCAAGTGATGGCGCAGAGGAGCCAAACTGGCCGTGCTGTCTGTGATGAACAGCAATGCAGGAAGTTTACACTACCAGGCATCCCCCAAGCTCCCACCCCACCCTGCTTCCAGGTATGCAAAGCCAGGGATGGAGACGGTGTGGTGCTCCTGTCAGGACTGACTGGCCAAGGGAGAGACTGGAGATTCCAGAAACAGACCTCTTCATGCACAGGCCCTCACGTTACTGAAAAGCTGATACTGTAACCTGGTGGGAAAAGGCTCAGCCTTCCACTAAATGGGCCAGGTCAAAGTGGGTATTTAGACAGGAAAAAGATAAAAATACGGCTGTGAATGAACCCTCCCTTCCCACCATCCCCCAAAACCTAAACACAAGCAAGAAAAAAATACAATCTTTAGAAGAAAACTTAGGCTAATACTTTCACAGCCTCTGGACAGGTAAAGGTTTCTTAATCTGGACTCAACAAACACCGAGTAAGAGGGACACATTTAACAGTGAAAAGTCAAGCCACAGAGCACGACAAAGTATCTGCAATACACGTTCCTAACAAAGCGTCCAAACCCAGATAAAGCAAAACAAGACAGAACAGAACAAAAGCCCCTTACAAGTCAGTATGAAAAAACCAACCCAGCGGATAGAGAGGGGGTCTTTGTAAGTACGTCATAGAAAAGTTTTTCCAAAGGCCACCCACTGAACAAAGCCTGAACCTCATTAGTTACCAGAAACAATGAAAATGCAAAATGCAACACACGCATGCATCAGCAGCCTTGCATGACCTCAGAGCCACTCCAGTGAACAACACCAACACCACCAACAACATGAGAAAACCAGAATGCACACCATGGCTAACCGAAGTGCTGCTTGACAGTGCTAAATAACACACACGCCTACCACCTACAAATTCAACTTTTAGATTGCATATTAAGTTTATGAAAACATTTTCTTTAAGTTAGTATTCAATGTTATCTTAAAAAAAAAGATTTATTTTTATTGGAATGGCAGATATACAGAGAGGAGGAGAGACAGAGGAAGATTTTCCATCCGATGGTTCACTCCCTAAGCAGCCGCAACAGTTGAAGCTTAGCCAATCCGAAGCCAGGAGCCAGGAGCCAGGAGCTTCCTCCAGGTCTCCCATGTGGGTGCAGGATCCCAAGGCTTTGGGCTGTCCTCTACTGCCATTCCCAGGTAGAAGCAGGGAGAGGTGAGGACCTTAACCATTACGCTATTGTACTGGGTCCCCAATGTTATCTTCTTTCAGTGTTGGCTCCCCAAGGAGCCTTCTAGATGTCTCCTGATCTGTCCTCCCCATGGGTTAACGTGACTGCAGTTTGTGTTCAGCGTGTAATGCCTTCCTCATACGTGAGGAGCAACCTCCTGCTCCCCGGTACTGCCTCCTGCTCCCCGGTACTGCCTCCTGCTCCCGGGGTACTGCCTCCTGCTCCCGGGGTACTGCCTCCTGCTCCCCGGGTACTGCCTCCTGCTCCCGGGGTACTGCCTCCTGCTCCCCGGGTACTGCCTCCTGCTCCCGGGTACTGCCTCCTGCTCCCGGGGTACTGCCTCCTGCTCCCGGGGTACTGCCTCCTGCTCCCGGGGTACTGCCTCCTGCTCCCCGGGTACTGCCTCCTGCTCCCCGGGTACTGCCTCCTGCTCCCCGGGTACTGCCTCCTGCTCCCCGGGTACTGCCTCCTGCTCCCGGGGTACTGCCTCCTGCTCCCCGGTACTGCCTCCTGCTCCCCGGGTACTGCCTCCTGCTCCCCGGGTACTGCCTCCTGCTCCCCGGGTACTGCCTCCTGCTCCCGGGTACTGCCTCCTGCTCCCGGGGTACTGCCTCCTGCTCCCCGGGTACTGCCTCCTGCTCCCGGGGTACTGCCTCCTGCTCCCCGGTACTGCCTCCTGCTCCCCGGTACTGCCTCCTGCTCCCGGGGTACTGCCTCCTGCTCCCCGGTACTGCCTCCTGCTCCCCGGTACTGCCTCCTGCTCCCCGGGTACTGCCTCCTGCTCCCCGGGTACTGCCTCCTGCTCCCGGGGTACTGCCTCCTGCTCCCGGGGTACTGCCTCCTGCTCCCCGGTACTGCCTCCTGCTCCCGGGGTACTGCCTCCTGCTCCCGGGGTACTGCCTCCTGCTCCCGGGGTACTGCCTCCTGCTCTCCGGGTACTGCCTCCTGCTCCCCGGGTACTGCCTCCTGCTCCCCGGTACTGCCTCCTGCTCCCGGGGTACTGCCTCCTGCTCCCCGGTACTGCCTCCTGCTCCCGGGTACTGCCTCCTGCTCCCGGGGTACTGCCTCCTGCTCCCGGGGTACTGCCTCCTGCTCCCGGGGTACTGCCTCCTGCTCCCCGGTACTGCCTCCTGCTCCCGGGGTACTGCCTCCTGCTCCCCGGTACTGCCTCCTGCTCCCGGGGTACTGCCTCCTGCTCCCCGGTACTGCCTCCTGCTCCCGGGGTACTGCCTCCTGCTCCCCGGTACTGCCTCCTGCTCCCGGGGTACCGCCAGCATCGCTGCAGAACAGATTTAAGACAGTGACTTGACTCATTCTGTCTTTTTGGCTGGCAGTCTACAACACTGCATTTGCTCCTAGGATTTGATACTTAATTCAACCTGAGAAATCAGTTTACCTAGCTCTCCCTCAATTCAACAGGCCAAATAGGAGGGGGCGAGCTGATGCCTGATCACTGCCTGGCCCCCCGCTGCTCAGAGGCGGGTGGTGTGGGCACACTGGCTGGTACAAAGCTCAGCTCTTCAGGCCTCCACCCCTCCCATGGCACCAAAGAATGAAGAGTCGGTAATCTCTCACTTGGATGGGCACTGTAGGATTTCCAAACTCAGTTTCCTGTAATGGAATTTTGTGAAGAAAAATGATACTTTACAAATCTCCATTTTTATCATCTGGGCATTGCAGCATGCTCGTGTTCAGCTTTTGCATGGTGGGACAGAGCAGGGAAGGAAGAGCGCCCCTCTTGTCCTGAGTGTTTATGCACAGCTGCTGGCTGTTGCAGTGGTAGGCATGTGAGGCGACCACAGGGACCGCAGGGGACGCAAGGACAGGGTTGTGGCTGTCCAGCTGGCCACCCTCACATCAACACATGTGGCCACAAAGCCAGCTCCACGCGGCCAAATTCTCTCATTGCAAAAAAGGACTGTGTCATAGGTAAATCGACAAAAACTCATCGGTAGAATTGTTAGTTGAACAGTTTCCTAATCTGAGGGCGGCATCCACAGAGCCAATTCCTCCTAGCCTCCGGTGAAGGCGGGGGGCAAATGTGGCCTGAGCACAGAGCTGCACGCTGCTCCGTGGTGGTCGGCCAGGAGCCCTGGCCGCCATGGTTGCTATCAGCACCACCATCCGGGTGCCCATGGCAGAGGTTGGCATGGAGGCTGCTGCCCTGCGTGCCGCCCCAAGTGGCTTGGCAGAGGCGGTTTGCCTCTGATCCTCTTCCAGTTCTCAGCTTCCCTGCTTCCCTTCCGATGTCAACAGCCCCCCCAGGCCCGCGCGCCCTTAAATAAACACGTGCCGCACAACTCGTTCCTTCTGCATCTCCTCGCTCCAACGTCTGAGACGTAAGGGCTTCACAGTGAAGTCTGAATGACTAAAAAGTTTAATCTTCCTCAAGGTGTTTGAATTGCAGGAAAAAAAATGATCATTCATATGCAAGAGTTTATTTTTTTAAACAGAAGCTTTTTTAACCTGGATTTTTTTTACTATTCCTAGAAAACAGGTTATCTAGGAGGAATATGCTTAGAACACCTGTAGGGGGCCCGGCAGCGTGGCCTAGCAGCTAGGTCCTCGCCTTGAACGCGCCGGGATCCCATATGGGTGCCATTTCTAATCCCGGCAGCTCCACTTCCCATCCAGTTCCCTGCTTGTGGCCTGGGGAAGCAGTCGAGGACGGTCAATGCTTTGGGAATCTGCACCCGTATGGGATACCCGGAAGAAGTTCCTGGCTCCTGGCTTCGGATCGGCATAACATTGGCCATTGCGCTCACTTGGGGAGTGAATCATCGGACGGAAGCTCTTCCTCTCTGTCTCTCCTCCTCTTTGTAGATTTGACTTTGTAATAAAAATAAATAAATCTTAAAAAAAGAACACCTGTAGGAACAGGAGTAAAGTTGCTACAAATCAGATGGTCATAAACTGGCTAAAGCACACGGAATTTTGTTATGATGCGGTTAAGTACCTCGTTCTACCATTTCTTTTCAAGTGCAAAATGCAAATAGTACTTCGTCCTGGGAAGTGACTGAAAGTGAGGGAACGAGGGAGAGGAGGCCAGGCCCTCTGCATTTCTACCCCTGTTTCTCAGAAAAAGCACGCTGGGACTATGTATCTAGAAGCCACCTTTCTTAAAGAATTAAACTTAATCATGCAAGTCCTGTGGTGAATTCAACATCAGAAATCAGAACTGCCCCTTTTATTCCTTATTCTCCTCCAGACATAACTGTTCTGAAACACGGAGGGTCCGTCTCTTCCTTCCCAGCCTCAGGATCCCTCTTGCACCAGCTGACCTCTGCCTCAAGAAGCCCCGACAGCAGCAGTGCAGTTCCAGGCGAGGACAGGATCCAGGTTAGGGTCACCCAGTGAGCGGCCGGGAGAGGGCCTGGCGTGTTCAGAGACAGCCACCGGAGTAGCAGAAGGGCGTGGCTGTTGCAATGACCGAGGGTGAGGCTGAAAGCACTCGGAGAAGGTGAGAGGGAGTGGGGGTGGCCAAGGAACCGCAAGGGATGGACAGCAGGCCAGGGTCCGGGTTGGAGGGGACAGTGGGAGTCAGAAGACGCCACAGCCAGTACATGGTTCCTTTTCAGAAATCCTTACTTGAAAGTTTAAAAACGAGCGTCCAGTTATGTGATTATGTCACAGCTGGCAGGGGCTCCCAATTCCCATGGCATAAACACTCCCACTGTTGCCAATTTCGGGCCACTGATGTGACACCACTGAAGATGCACACATGTGGTTGTCAGGAGCCAGGGGCCCCTGGGCTCCCTCATGTCCCTGTGCTGTGAAGGGCCCCAAGCCCCTGCCGAGAAGCATCGTGCCTTTTCCGCTATGTTCTTTTGACCTCTGCCAGTTCTCACACCCACTGGTCTCCTCTTGTCTGTGGTTTATGCCAAGTCTATCCCTCTTAAGGCTTCTCCCATCGTAGCTCATGCTGACTGGCCACCTTTCCTAGCTTAGTGTCCATGAAAAAGCCATTTCTGGCTTGTTGAGTAGGTTCAGAACCTATGTTGGAGCATAAACTACTGGACTGAAACGCAGACCATTCTCTGTGGACTTCAGATGCTATGTAAGCTTTGATCACAGAACGGAAATAACCATGGGGCACAAATCACAACCTGTGACCCTTAGCAACCCGGGGCCACCTGCTCCCCAGCCCCGCCCGTCGCCCCGTACTTGATGGGTGCGGGCAGGATGGTCTGGTAGTTGTAGTGCTGCTGCTGCTGGCTCAGGATCTGCAGCTGCAGGAACAGCTGCTGCTGCTGCAGCAGGCGGGCGTAGTTGGAGTCCATCTGCGGCTCGTTCTTCTCCCCTTTCTGATCCGGAGGAATGTACTGGTGGTACTTTAACTTCTTGACCCGGGGTTTGGGATCTTTGCACTTTTTGCTACGATGTTTATCATTTGGATTCTTGGGGTGGCTTTGCTATTTTTGAGCAAGATAAAAAAAAAAGAACATTTTAAGATATTTTGCCACATGAAATCTATTTTTAATTTGAAATTAAAAAACAATGCACCTTGCAAGCTGGTAGGGACCCTTTGCAGAGCGGGACACTAAACACTGCAAGCACCATGGACACGAGGCTCCTTCCCCTGTGGGTGTTCCCCTTGGGACAGGGACAAGATGCAGGCCTGCATGATGCACTTCAACGCAACCCACAGTTACTGTGGGTCTCCTGCATACAGCCAGTGCCGAGTGCTCATCTGTATTATCCCCTACTGACAAATAGCTGTTTATCAAATACACAACAGGGGAAGACTAAGTGTATTTCACTGACCACATAACATTAAACAAACCTACAAGAGAATGTATAAAAACAGAAAAATGCCTCCAGTGAGAATAAAGCAGCACAGACCTATCTCCAAGGAAATGCTAACACAGAGAACTGTGACCACGGATTCAAAATCCGAAAAAGAAATCACGTTTTCCCTTTGAAAATGGTACTGAGACCACGCATCTCTGCATTAAGAACCAGATGACTTTTTGAGTTATTTCATTCTCAACTGAAGTCACAGAATTTTCCACTTTTTAAGTATTCATAGCCTCACTTACAGATAAAAGCCATTCAAACAAAGCCCAGGAGTTAACTTCCAAGCTGACTTTGGGAACACTCTGGGAAATGCTAAGTGAAAACGCAGCGAGTAGGGCGAGCAGTTCCGATGCCTCCTGGGATGCCCGCCTCGTGTGTGCCAGGCCTGGGCTTGGCTCCTGCTCAGCCTCATGACTTCAGCTTCCTGCTGACACACCGCACACTCGCAGCAGACTCAGACCGAGTTCCTGGCTCCTGGCTCTTGTGTGGCTTGGCCCAGCTGTTGCAGGCATTTGCTAGAGGTGGGGGTGGTGAACCGGAACACGGGCAATTTCTCTCTCTACCTCTGAAATAAATGAAAATCTAACTATTGGACTATTAATATGATTGTTCTATGTATGTTCATATCTAATAGAGGAAATTGCAAAAAAAAAAAGAAAAATCAGACCGACCCCAAGCCCCAAACCCACCAAACGCTGCAGAGTGGACAGTCAGCGCCGATGTCCTTCGGGGAGTTCTCGGCGGGTGTTAACAGCTCATGGCACTGTTTCTCAGAAGCATGCTTCTCTCCCTTCACTTGTACATCATGCATCCCTTCCCACTGTGAAAGAACGATGCTGTGACATGGTTCTCATGGCCGTGTCACCTGGCTCCTGTCGGCCGCACGTGTGCACCTTCTGGAGTGGCTGCTCTCACTGAGTGATGTCACACGGCTGGTGTGACACTGACGATGGTCTGGGGTATTTACACCATGGCAACTGGCAGTCCCAGCCAGCTGTGATACAACACCAGCAGGCCACTGGACAAAATCATCATCTGTGTTACTTAGAAGCCGATTTCAACACCTTTAACAAGGAGCTATAAAGAGCAAAAGTGTGCTGGACTTGGTTTTTGCTCTCAGGGCCGCCCCGGACCTGGCCTCCTCTCGGGCTCCTCAGCCACGCCCACTTCCTGCTGCCCTGCTGTGCTCTGCCACTTGTTCCGGTCCCAGGTCCTTCACTTTGTTTTCTTTAAACATCCCTTTCTCTGCCTCAGCCACTTGCAGTGTGGCCGTCACCCAGGTCTTACAGCTGTCAGCGGCTGCACCTTCTCACTTCCTGACCCACGGCCTGCTGTGTCGATTCACTCCAGCCCGCCTGCCTGGCTTCTGGGAGGCCAGAGAACTTACTATCATTACAGCGTCCTGTGACCTTCTTGACGTCTGCCCATGTGCACGGCCCGCCCTCTGTCAGATTTACCTGGCACAACCCTAACCCAGTTATTTGTCTCAGGTTTCTCAACAGTGGCTCCACTGGCGTTCTGAATGAGGCAGTGCCTGCATGTGGCTGTCCCGCATGCGTCGCACGAACAACAGCCCTCCCGGCCTCTGCCCACTAGGTGCCATCCTGTGCCCTCTAACAACAACAAAGTCTTCCGACTTTGCCAGATGCCCTGTGGTAGGGGAAAATGGCCCCTGTGGAGAGCCACTGGTCGACGGTGTGCTATATTCACACACCTGAGAGCACCGTGAGCAAAACAGAACCATGCGGGCTTGTCTCAGGCTAAGGGCCTGATTTCAAGGGCTCTTCAGCATGGCCTGGCCACCCTACTCCATTTTTCTGGACCATTTGCTTCCCTCCTCTTGAATCCTCCCTCTGTTTTCAGCACCTCTTCCCCGCCCTGTCTGCTGACAACCTTGCTTCCCAAACACTGATGAGAGGCTGGTGGCCAGTGTGGAGCTCCCTAAGGCCCACTTCCTGCCTGGACCTGGACCTGGTCACGCAGGTGGCTTTCCTTCCTTGAATGCATTCCTCTGTGTCCTGAAGGAAGCACTACTCAGCTACCTGACCCGTCTGACTTGCTTGGAGAGCACAGGCCCGCTGCAGAGATGCAATGCTAACGTGCAAGCTGCCGTTTCCTTCAGGAGGGGCAGTAACAGCTGAGAAGGTGCCAAGAGCAGACTGCAAGCTGGGAGGCTGGGGCCGAACCGGCCGCTCCCTTCACGAGGGAAGCAGGAAGCGCCTGGGCAGCTCTCTGCTCTTCTCTCAGCGCTACAAGCCTGAGGTCTGGGATCTGCTGTTGTCGGCAAAAGCCGCCTCGGGAATGATGAAACCATTCTTCAGTTTATTCCCGCCACCCCCTTTATTTAGAAGCTCTAAATATAATTTTTAAAACTTTAAACATGCACTGTATATTAAAAATGTTAATCTCTTGGAGATTTATTCTGAGTTATTTTGACCAAGGAAAATGTAGAGAACAGTGCCACAAGTCTGAAACTTATCGGAACAACAGACCTAACTGGCTCTAGCCAGATGAGCCAAATCAAAAAAACATACATGCACCTGTCAAGCCTTTAACCTGGCAGACAGTATATCTGCAATACCACTGAACCTGCTACTGTATGCGCAAGGCCCCAGCCATGCCACCCTCTCCCGCCCACGAGCTGTGCTCGTGTTACCCAGCCTGACTCCATCTGTCACTCCATCTTCATGGCTTGGGGACTTCTGAAACAGAATGTCTGAAGATTCTACGCATCATAGTCTCATACAGGAGAGTAACGGCATTAAAAGATTATTTTAGTGCAAAAATATTGAAATCCTTGCATATAAAGTGTTTTAAAAACGTTCATGAAAAATGTATCATAGGAAGAAATATGCAAGGCTTTCACAAAATTTTTGCAGCAAAATCACACTTATCTTTTCACTTCCTTTTCCAAGTACCCTCACAGATGAAGTCTTGCACTATTTTTCTGACTACAGGACACTGGATCATTTGCAAAACGGTGGCAGCTTCCAGCATGAAGGCCCCGGCAAAGCCAGGGTTTCTGTGGTTTTATTCAGCTTTGGGCTGAAGGCAGCCCGGCCAGCTCAGCCACACTCCCCCATCTTGCACACTCACGGGCTCTAGAGTCAGGGCACAAGGCACACAGCCCACGCGTCTCAGGTACCCACCTTCACCAGGGTCGGGCCAGGCTTCACTGTGGACACAGTGTTTGTGGGGAGGACAGCAGCTGGGGACCTGGTGGAAGGCTGATCCGCAGTAGGCGGCGTCTTCAAGAATTCATGAACTGCTTGCGACGCTGAAGGAAACTACAGGAAAAGGCAGTGAAATCAGTAAGAGATCAACGACTGTAAATATGTAAACCGCAAGGTTGAGGGAGTGACTTACTTTTAAGTCCACTAGAACAGAACTGAAAGATTCACTCTCCTGCCCGAGGCCCAGAGGGTAAAAAATTTTACCTCTGTGGGATTCACTGTTTAGCTTTTGCCTCAACAGCAATGATCAGCTAAACCTAAATATAGCAAGACTGGCAGAACAATGGTCAGAAATAATTTTGAGGGGGTTAGAGGGGGAGGCAAGAAAAAAGTCCAAGACTGTTGCAAAAATCACCAAAATAACACATAAAATTTGAAGGCTTTCTTTGTGTCTAGCTCATACTAACTCCTGTTGATGGAGGCGTGATGTTTAGTCTTCATTACAAGGCCACCCATCTCTGCCACGCCCACCCATCTCTGCCATGCCCAGCTCTGCTGGCAGGAGGTGTCTCTGCCCACAGGCCCTTTGGTGGGCATCGCTACTCCTGCTCCGGTCTGCGCCGGGGACCAGCACGCTCCTGTCACTCACCTCTCTCCCACTCCTCACAACATGAGAGGATGCAAAGGCTACACCCTGATAAGACGGGCCCATTTCACTGGTAGTGCCATCTCAACAAGGAAGGTAGTTCATGATCTAAGCCTTAATCAACAAGGACCAAAATGCAAATGCGAGTCACACCTTAGCAGAGAAAGTGGCAGGAGGCTTTGCTAGGTTTTAGCAGCTCTCCTTAATGATCTACTTTCAAGAGAGTCCAAGTATCCATTTCTTGGAAAGAGATGTCACTACTACCATAAATTAGCTAAATGTTACATATTGATGATTGCTTATTTAATACCAGCTTTATCATGAGGAAAAATGCCTGCCTTTATCATTTCCACTTCCTAAAAAAAAAACTCTCAAATTCATCACACCAATGACCAAAATTCATTGTCTTACTGAAGTATCTGATTTTTAAAATAGCAAACTCTATTTTTCCTTCTTAAAATAAATGGCCTGAAAAACTCTAAGGACTATTAGTGCAAGAACTCTGAAGCCTGGCTCTTATTAGCCACTCAATAGCTATTGGTTTAACTAATGAACGGACATTCCTGTGGCCTTACTCATGCAGGGCCCTGCTCTCAAGCTGGCTGACACTACGTGCAGTGAATGGTTCGGAGAGTCCCTGCCAAGGGCTTTAGCTTTGGAGCAACTATTTGTAAGCAAATTTTGACAATAAAAAGGACTTAATTTAGTAAATATGGGTATACTCAATTTCATTTCCAGCAGAAATGACAGGAGAAGCCTCACTCAAGAGATCCAATGCCATGTTCCAGCCCGATCCCTGCCCTTGCACAGCCCTGAGGTAATAGCTTCCCTGTGAACCAGCCTAGCCAGCCTTTAGGAGTGAGATGAGAAATGCTGGCCAGTGACTCCATCTCTGCAGGGTCCCCAAAGGATCTAGTGTGCATGGTCCCCAGTTTGAGGTCCCTACCTCTATGGGGTGGGATCTCAGGGTGGGGCGATAAGCAGGTCCCTGGGAAGGGGTTGATATAGTTGATTCCTGAGAGCCCAGGTTGCTAGAAAAGTGTGAACCTGGGTTTCTTGTCTCCCCACTTGACCTCTGCACGGACACTGCCTTTCCCAGGTGCCTGCCAGGCTGGTATGCTCACCACAGGCCGAACAGGCAGAGCTGCCAGGTCAGGACGTCAGCCTCCCTAACACTGAACTGACAGCCCCTCTGCTCTCCAAAGGCTTTGCTTCTTGCATTTTGTCACAGCAGCACAAAACAAACTACTAACATGGGACATAATCCATGTTACCTTTCTTTCACCTTCAGATGTTCTGAAAATTAGGACACTCAATTCGGGTCAATTTTTACAGCAGGGAGAACAGTCTATTGTACAACTACTGTATGGCCATTGTACAGCTGATTATGAAGAGGAGTCCATTGTTTGAATTGGAATTGCAGGTATACGTCATTGCAAGCTGCTTTACCAGTCCAGACCTCACAGGATGACTCAGAGAGTGGAGTGTGTGAATGTGTGTGTGTACTTTATTTATATATATGTAAGATTTATTTATTTTATTGGAAAGGAAGATCTACAGAGGAGAAGAGACAGAGAAAGATGTTCCACCTGCTGGTTCATCCCACAAATGACCACAACAGCCAAGCTGAGTTGATCTGAAGCCTGGAGCCTCCTCCAGGTCTCCCACATGGGTGCAGGGTCCCAGGGCTTTGGGCTCCACTGCTTTCCCAGGCCACAAGCAGGAAGCTGGATGGGAGGTGGAGCATCCAGGACACAGACCAGTGCCCAGATGGGTTCCCAGTGTTTGCAATGGGAGGATTAACCAACTGAACCATTGCACTGGGTCCCTGATGGATACTGAGCTGGTACATGACTGCTCTGTTTGCAAGGATACAGATGTATCTGCTTTAAAAGGTGCATTATTTTAACTGTAGTAAAAAGTACATGTAGTAAAAAGTATTCATTTTCAAGTGTCTGGACCTAGGACATATACATGTTGGTCTGCAGCCATGCTGAGACTCAGCTGCAAACACCCAACTTGAAGTTCACAGACTCTATTTTCTGCCTGTTTGAATGTGCTGTTCAACTCCCCTCGCGAAATGTTCAATTCAGTGGTTGTCTTTCCAATGCACTAACTCCAGAATCTGCTTTCTGTAATTTCTCCCTCTGTTGATATTCTGTTTGTTCACACATTGTTTTCCTGATTTCTTCTTTTTTTTTTTTTATACATACTTCTTTTTTTAAAAAGCTTTTGGACATACTTAGGATTATATTTCCCTATTTCTTTGTAACTTCTCTTGAAAATTGATGGGAAAAGCAGCCACCTCTCCCAGTCTGTGCAGACTGGCGTGGAAAATGTTCTCTGGCTTTGGGTTGCAGCCTTGGGTTCGGGCCTGGGTGGAGGCCTTATGTTTTCTTAGGCCTCTGGAGGGCAAGGGTTCTGTCTGGGACTGTTCACACACAGATATCTGCTTCTGTGTCCTGATTTTCTTAGATATGCCTGTCCTTCTCCCCAGGGCCTCCGTGCTTGCCTGTGGCAGGTCAGTGGTCGCCCTGTAGGCTGCTCTTCCTGCCTGCTGTGGCCTTCTGCTGGCCTGAGGGCCAAGCTGTGCTGCTGCCCCACACCTCAGCTCCGAGATGGGAGAGAGAACAGCCGTCTCTCAGGCAGCCCACAGCTGGTTTAGAACGGGGTACAGAAGTTCTGTTCCTTTGGTTTTCAGGGAGAGAACTATGCCACCCAACTGTGCAGGGAGTGAGTGGGAAGACTGGGCAAGGGTAAGTACACCCACCATGAAATTTTCTTTTTGGATGTGACTTTTTTCTTGAGCATGAATTCTGCTGGTTGGCACAGATCTCTGACTGATTTCCAGAACTTCTGCAGTTATTTTAGTCAGTCGGAAGTTTATTTAGCATTTGCATGGGAGCTCAAGAGCTTGGACCTTCCTACTCCTTTATCTAGTTGACAAGTGTTGCCCTTTAAAATGAGATTCTCCATCAATTGGGAGACAGTGTTAAGCATGTGAAACATTCATAAACTCTTAAAAGGTGAATATTTAGTGGTTCTAATTTTTGACAGTTCTATAATAACAACTGTGTATTTAATTAGAATAATGTTACAGCAATAAGGTGATCAGGTCACCATAATTCCTCTATTTGGGTGACAAATTAATGGGCAAATCAACTCAAAAATTTCCTTATAATATTGTGGACTGACTTTAGAAAATTCAGAGCCCACATCTTCCTTACATTAAAAATACCCTTCACTTTATAAAGCTGTCACTATTATCTGCTATAGCCTCCAAATTCAGCAGAATGTTTATCTGAAGTTTGCACCTCTGGTTAGTTCCTCACTTACAAACTCAGCTAAAGGGGCTGCATCTGGGTCTAACAGACACCTCTTTGGAACCCTGGCGTCCCACGTGTACGTGCCTGGGTTAGGTGCCAGCTGTGCTCCTGAGAGCAGTTTAGTCTCTGCTGCCCCCGTGGGAGACCATCATTAAGTTCCTGGCTTTGGCCTGGCCCACTGGCCACTGTGGGCATCTGAACAGTAAAGTAGCACATGGAAGCTCTTTTTATGTCTCTCTGCCTCTCAAATAAAAACAAAAATTAAACTTGAAGATGGAGAGCTTTAAGGACAAATTAAAACCCCTAATATTACATGTAATGTGGGGAAAAGAATGATCATCTTGTATACAGCAGGAATGATCACGAAGCATCCAACGGCAGATGCCTGAGGTGACAGAAATCCTGTGGTTTGGAAAGCTAAGGCTATGCTAATAGCCATCTGACATCCTGACCCACCCAGACAGAGGCACAGACCAAACAACTTCAACGGCTACGCACAACTGGTTTTTAATGGTATTCATTGCATACTTGGCATTCTTTTTAGCCCTATTTTTAAAGCTCAAATCAGAGTGCAGTAAGTATGTGAGAACCTACTGGAGCCTGGACTCCCTTCCTCCTGCTCAGACCCAGGACTTCAGGCGGGCGGGCCCCGAGCCTCGTGCCTCCCCTGGCAGGTCCAGTAAGGAGGGGAGGCCGCAGTCCTCCGGCCCCGTGAGGCTGACAGGAGAAGCCTGCCCTCCTGCTGCTCACACCACTGCATGTAAGCTGGGGCAGCTCTATTCACCAAAGGAAGCAGGATGGACTTGGCCAAGCTCCGCCAGCACCCCAGGTGCACCTGCTTTCCAGCTACATGACTCAGTGTTTACTGAGCACTGTCCGCAGCCAGGACCTGTTCTAGCTGCTGAAGCCTTACCAGGGGTCCTTCTCTGTCACAGGCTCACACTATAGCTGGAGTAACAAACTGATTTCATGTTATGAGTGCAGTGAAGAAATGCTAAAAACTGAGTTTATAAACAAGTAAGTTCTCGAATATGAACAACTGATATGGAGCCTTTTTGTAATCCCCAAACTTTCATACCTTGGTGGACTTGGGTAAAGTAGAAAAGTGCTAAATTCATTTTGTTAAAAAATTCTATGATGCCAGGGTCAAGTTCAGAAGATGTTTTAAGCCTGGCATCATAGAATTTTTGCAGCCATTTGGGAGATGAACCAGTGGGTGGAAGACTGCTGCTTTTTCCTTCTCTGTAAAAATCTGCCTTTCAGATAAAAAGTAAATCTTAAAAAACAGAAAGCTGGACTCAGTACCATGGCTCAGTGCTTTGCATGCGCTAGAATCCCATACAGACACCAGTTCGTTTCCTGGCTACCCTACTTCCCATCCAGCCTGGAAAAGCAGCAAACATATGGCTCGAGTCCTGGGGGTTCCTGCACCCACATGGGAGATTTACAAGAAACTCCTGGTTCCTGGTTTCAGATAGGCTGACCTTGGGCCATTGTAGCCAACTGGGGAGGGAGCCAGCAGATGAAGATTTCTGTCTCTCCTCCTCTCTGTAACCCTGCCTTTCAAATAGAAATAAATCTTCAAAAAAATTTGTTTTTCTCTTCACAGATTTGCTATACTACCGTAATGTTTCAATAGATTAAATTTTCCTGTGTCACTTGTTACAGAAATTTTTTTTAAAAATCTATGCTAAAATTCATATAGAGTCATAAGCGACCCAAGTCGCAAGAGAGTGCCACAGACCGCCTGGGAGGCCCACTGCCGACAGCTGCCGGCAGGGAGGTGGGGAAACCGGAACGCCTTTTCATCACTGTAAGTACCAAACAGTATGAGTGCTACAGAGAGCAAGTAAGACACGGAAATAGCATAGGATCTGATCATCTCACTTCTGGGTATGTATCTAAAAGAACTGAAAGCAAGGCCTTTAAGAGTTCTTTGAGTTCATAGCACCATTCTCTACAACATCTAAGAAGTGCAAGCAATACAAGTGTTCATCAATGAATGTATAAATAAAGCATGGTACACAGAACACTGTCTAGTCTTAACAGAATGAGGTCCTGGGGCCAGCACTGTGGAGCAGTGGGAAAGTCCCTATCTGCAGCGCCCCCCAATGGGCAGTTCCAGTTAATGTCCTGACTGATTCACTTTTTTTTTTCAGACTTAATTATTTCTGTTGGAAAGTCAGATATACAGAGAGGAGAGAGAGAGAGAGGAAGATCTTCCACCTGCCGATTCCCTCCCCAAGTGGTCACAATGACTGGAGCTGTGCCAATCCCAAGCCAGGAGCCAGGAGCTTCTTCCAGATCTCTCACATGGGTGCAGGATCCCAAGGCTTTGGGCCGTCCTTGACTGCTTTCCCAGGCCACAAGCAGGGAGCTGGATGGGAAGTGGGGCTGCTGGGATTAGAACCAGCGACCATATGGGATCCTGGTGCACTCAAGGCAAGGACTTCATTCGCTAAGCTACCACGCCGGGCCCCTGATTCACTTCTAATCCAACTCTGTGCTGACACCCCAGGAAAAGCAGCAGAAGATGGCTTAAGTGTTGGGCCCTGCTACCAATGGGAATGAAGCTTCTGGCTCCTAACTTTGCCCTGGCCCAGTCCCAGTCACTACATCATGTGCGTAGTGAACCCGTAGATGGAAGACCTTTCTATCTCACCCCTTCTCTCAGTAATTCTGACTCTCAAATAAACAAACCTTTAAAAGGGAACAGTATCCTGTCACATGCCATGACATGAATAAGGACATCACGCTAAGTCAAACAGCAATTCACAGGAAGACAAACACCACAGCAGTCCACTTGGATGAGGAATCTACAATACTCCATTGTCAGCAGAATGGGAGCTACCAGGGGCTGGGAGGATGTTTTAATGGAAACAGAATTTCAACTTTGCTGTGTTGAATCTTCCAGAGAGAAGTATATTACACAACACTGTAAATATACTTAACACAACTGAACCATATACTTTAAAATGGAGTCTATGCTTTTAAAAAGTGGATTTTACGGTATGTAAAATTGTATGTCAGTATGATACTATGTGAAGATTTTTTTAATGCAGTTATATAATCATAAAATTAAAATGCATAGAATGAGCAAAAATAATATATAAGAATCTGTTGAAAATATTCAACAATGACTGGCTTTTAGAGATTAAAAAACCCAATTCTGTTTTTTAGCACTATGAGTTTTTCCTTCTGGTAAAAATGTACTATGTTGATATATAGAAAATAAGGCACAGTTTGTGTTTTGGGGTGAAAGCCAGAAAGACAATACCTGGGCTGGCGTGCTTGCAGTCACAGAAGATGGCGAGTCGTTAACTTTTGGCTCACTGGGGGACGCGGCTGATCCCTGCGACTCCTGGCTGGCTGGTTGGTCCGGAGACAAGGCGTCACTGCTGTCTTCATCAAATGAGAAATCACCCTGAGTGTGGGGGAAGTCCTCCTTCCCAACACCTGAACAAAGAGGGGATTCTTAACTTAGGTTGTCCTTGGAATACCAGATGGGGTACCACAAACGAGACACTTTGTTTCCTACAAGAATTCAAGAAGCTGCTTCAAAACAACAGAAGAACATGAGGTGCTTCCTAGCGGAGGAATACATCACTGCTTATGATGCAAATGGAGGAGGGGGGCACCGGAAGTGGATCAAACTTTGGAATCTAACAGTTACAGGAAGGAGAGGGGACAGGAAGGGGTGTCTTCAGTGACACCAGGGGACACAAACACAGCCATCCAGAATGTGGTGCTCCACATTTGCCAGAGGACAAAACCAATCTGTTTCACCAACAAACAGGCAATAACGGACAAAACAGAGTGAGGGATGGGGCAGGGAAGCAGGACTACTCAACAGAGACACAGGCACCAGGGGGAGGCAAGTCCTGTCAGCCAGGTGGTAAAGAAGACACAGTACTGTGACTGGAAACCTGCTGAAGAATCCTACTTCAAGGAGCAGTCCAGCCAGACGACGATTCTTTGAGATTCAGTGGAATTAAGTAAGGGTGACTGTACTGCTTAGAATTTTTGACTACACATTGCCTACATTTTTACTAATGCAAAAAATGAACTCCTTGGGAGTCATGAAAACTAGCAGTCGTTAAAGTAGGATAATAACTTTTCAACATTGCTCACTGAGTAAGCTTTCTGCTAAAGCTTATGGCAGAAAGAGAAGCATCAGTACTAGGTTAGAAACGGATAAAATGGACAGGTCCCACCATTTTTAATGAATGTATAATATGCATCTGCTATTGGCCTATTTATCTTTCCCAGAGTGGGATAAAGATAATGAAAGATCTGCAACAACATTAAATAACAGAAACTAAACAGTACACTCAGCAAACATGATCATGAGAGCAGGATGTAAGATTGAAGCCTCCGCTGTGACCATATAACTGTTAGCTGGCAGATGTCAGGACACTTACACTCAAACAGAACCACAGGAAGGATGAATCTATTTCTAATTAACCCAGAAAATAAGACCCATGCCAAGTTACTGGCTTTTCAGTTGAATGGGTTTGATTTAAAACCTCCACGTTTCACCTTCTCCCAGAAAACAGTAAACTTGAGTCTTGCCTATAATCGCTTCCTTAACACTGGAGTCCACGGGAAGGATGTTTTTCTCCACCAGCTCCATGGGACCAGGTCTCTGAGCAATCTTTTCATTCAGGTCATCCGCTAGCCGAGCTCTTTTCAACTTCATCTGAGTAGCCTGTAGGGATGGCTCTGCAAATGTTTCTAAAAGAGGAAGCATAGTTTTAATCACTACGTGAACTGGCAATTTCAATTTCATAACGCCACTTCAGGTTGAATAACTGAATTTTAACTGGTTTAAATGCATCTGTGCACTCAATGCATTTCTAGAAAAAGAAAATGACTAAGAAAGCTGCAGCCCACACTTTATATTTCTTACTGCTGGACAGCTTTAGCTTGTCTATGCAAAAGGAACATCGACCTTTATTAATATGACTGTAAGCCAAATTGTGACGCAGCTACTGTTCATTTGTGGTAAGAGGTCCAATTCACATCCATCAGGTGGATGAACAAGACAAAGGAGAACCATGGCTCGTCAAGTTCACAGCTCTCATGTGGCTGTGCCGTGAAGTCCATGGGGAGAGCTCAACTCACATTCTTGGATTCATCCCCGTCTGAGTGAGAGTCAGTCACCATGATTACGACGACTATGTAACTTGGGTCTCGTAGGAACACTCAGTTACACAGGAATTAGCGTCCCTCTGGAGACACTGACTCACATCCACACACATGCACCAAGTTGGGACACAGTTTATGAAACTACTATAAATAGCTCAACTCATTCATTTGCCTTGTTCTGCTGATTACTCTGTTTTTGATCATTCTTCTTTTTCCCATTGTTCTAAATATCATTTACAATTCATTAAAAATGATGATGTGGCGGGTGTTGCTTCGAACCTGAGTTGAAAACTGCTTGCCTGTGGTCCTACAGCAGGGTCCTACAACTGGGCTCACTGCTGTTCTCCATTCCAAGGACAGGAGGACATGGCTGACACTTGCCACTTGAACCTGACTGTCCACAAACTAGTTCACTTCTGTTGCAACTGCTAACCGTAAATACATAATTTAACAAAACAAAGTTCCGACTTAGAAACCAAAGTTAAATTATGCTTTGGAAAGGCTTGACAAAGAAAAGAAGAAAAATCACTGTGAAATTAATTTGTGAAATTAATAACAATCTGGCAAAAAAGTTAAAAGTCATATGGTTTTAAACTCATATTGTGGTCCTAGCACAATGGCCTAGTGGCTAGATCCTCGCCTTGCATGTGTTGGGATTCCATATGAGCACCAGTTCAGCTCCCGGATGTTCCACTTCCCTTCCAGCTCCCTGCTTGTGGCCTGAGAAAGCAGGAATGGACAGGCCAAGCTCCTGAGACCCTGCATCAGCATGGGAGACCCAGAGGAGGCTCCTGGGTCCTGGCTCCTGGCTTTGGATCAGCTCAGCTCCAGCCGTTGTAGCCACTTGGGGAGTGAATCAGAGGATGAAAGATCGGTCATTCTTTCTGTAAATCTGCCTTTCCAATAAAAATAAATATTTTTTAAAAACTCGTATTTCAAGTGTCTGTAATTTTTCACTGCACCCTAAATAGAAATTGTAGCTGACGTAGGAGGGCACTGGCTGTGTCCTATGCAGAAGATGACGGGAACGCCATTCACTAAAGACCTACCGTAGCTAAAACAGTGTCAGATAACATGCACTTCCGCAAGTTACAACAGAAAGTGTGCCCGCCTCTTCTTCATGATTTTCCTTTATACCAACTGTGGTCTCAGTCTTTTCAGACAAAATAACCACACAGGAAGATGGCAGGGAATTATACCTTCATATAAAGCCCTTAGGTTCAAGGCTTTTGTTAAAGTCTAGGTAGGATAGCCTTCTATTGTTCGTCCTCTCCCTTGAACGTCATCCCAATGAGGGCAGTGGGAAGTCGGGAGAAAACACTCCCCAAATAAGTAGAGCCTGGCGCTCTGGCATGCTTTCATTTGTAATCATTCCCGTTCCCACAAGGTTGAGACTGGATTTTGGCTGCTGAAATACTGAAAAAATCTAGGCATTTGCCTGCCAAATATCTAATTCAATCAAAACTGTGTTAATGTTAGAGGGCAGATGGGGGTGATATTTTGAAAATGCTTGAAAATTAAAGATGATACATTCTTATTAAAAAAAAATCCCAACTTGAGACTAGATGTCCAAAAACAACACTTATGGTTCATTCTTAAACACCATTAGGTTTTAAATGTTGGGAAGCCCTTTTTAAAGTTAAGCAAATATGATTTATTTTGAAAAATTAAATGTATCTTCCATGATTATAAAATACAAATAATAAGGCCTGTTATAGTGAGAAGGCAAGTTGAGACAGACAGCACTGTTGCTACCTATCCCTGTTGGGTCAAACTCCTCTCGGGCACAGAAAGGTCTCTCTACCAGGCTACTTTCCGAGAGCTTGTTTCTCTGTAGTCACTTAACCCTGGCAGCTGGCAGCTGCTCCACCCTACCATGGGGGTTCTGGAAAAGCTTTTTATCCCGGTGGACTTCTGGAAACACAATCCAAAGCAGAGACAGACACACACGCCTCACTTCCCTCGAATCAGGAGGATGGTCACACGGCCATCAGTCCTAGAGAAGACCCTACTTGGAGTCACAAAGTGGAAATCAGAACCTGGAACTTACTGCCTTTTCTCTCTCACAGCAGCCTCTCTGCTCCCACGGACTGAATCATAATGTAATTCAGTTGTTCCTGCCTCTGTCACTGGAATGTGAGCTCTAGGCAGGCAGGCTTCCACCTGTCTGGCCTATATGACAGAGTCAGTGTCACTTCAAGAGGCCACTCTGGACATTTCTGAGCTTTAGGATATTATTCCTTTGAAATACCAAACAAATTCTAGCACTAACTCTAATTTTAACATTCGGTTCAGAGAGAACAAATCTTCCCTCTCTTGACAAGTGTCTTTACATGTCTGAGAAGCTTTGCGATTCCTTCTGAATTCTCTCAAGGCTTAACACACACACGACTATCATGGGATCCAGCTCCCAGTCTTGCTCAACAAATCAGTCAGAAAAGCCAAACACTCAGAGGGAATGTAACTCAGCAGTCTACGGTGGAGGCACTAGCTTTCCAGAATGTTTTGTCTTTAGAGAGAAAAAACATCGTGGTGTAGCATGCATGTGTTTAGTTAAGCATAGGATGGAACTGTGTCTACCTAACCACCATAAGTGATGAGGGTTAGGTCACTGGGGTAATTTGGTGAGGGGTTGGAGGTTGAGGTAGCTTATGATGGTAGTGGGAAATTGTGGAGAGCGGAGCCGCGCCTCAAAGATGGCGCTTGCTGACCATTGCTTCGTGGCACAAAGGTGGTAAACAGGTTTTGGGAAGTTACTAAGGATTGGGCTGAGCATGCAGGGAAGCTATGTGACCTAAGTCATGATTGGTGTGCTTACCACATGATGTGAGGAATTGTGTATGGATTGGTTTGTGTGATGTAAAAAGGTCTGGGTGAAAATTAGTTAATGAAGAGATTCTCCTAGGCGCGCTTCAAGGCTAGAGCTAGAGCTATCGCTATCACTTCAAGGCTATTGCTAGCTAGCACTAGGCTGCTTTTGCTTTACTGTAATAAATCTTACAAGTGCTGTAACTGCTTTCACTTTGACACAACACTTGAAGTCTTGACCAATAAACTTTTTTAAGAATCTTTACCGTATTGGGGTCTTGCTCGCGGGACGAGGGACCCCGATAGGAAATAAGCTGAATTGTTGTAGTAAGTGGCAACAAAGAGAAAATCTTGGGTGTGGTACTGCACCAGGTGGAAATGAATAAGGCTCAAGTTTCTGAAAATTTACAGTCAGACTTTTGGCTACTGTACCCTTGATGATTTATTGAGCGGGGTACAAAAATTGTCTTTCTTGATAAATAAATCCTCTGAAACAAAATACTATTTTCTAGAATAGTATGGTATAGGCACCTATGGTACCAGCTGGTGGGGAAAAGTCAGTCCATCAACCTTCTCCATTTAATTGACATAACATTTTAGCTTTGGGTCTTCATGTTGTTATGCACTTTGGAGGATGTCAGCCCGACGTGTAAAAAGTTATTAAAACAGGCGTATACATGGCCTAGCATAGTAGCCTAGCAGCTAAAGTCCTCGCCTTGCACGTGCCGGGATCCCACATGGGCACCATTTCTAATCCTGGCAGCCCTGCTTTTCATCCAGCTCCCTGCTTGTGGCCTGGGAAAGCAGTCAAGGACGGCCCAAAGCCTTGGGATCCTGCACCCATGTGAGAGATCTGGAAGAAGTTCCTGGCTCCTGGCTTGGGATTGGCACAGCTCCAGTCATTGTGACCACTTGGGGAGTGAATCAGCAGACAGAAGATCTTCCTCTCTGTATATCTGACTTTCCAATAAAGAAAAAATAGGAGTACACAGAAATGGTGGATTTTTCTCTTCTTTCTCGAGAAAATGTGCAATGTACACAGATAGAGAAGCTTTACCTTCTAAAATGTGCATCCTGACAAGTTCGGAGCGGTCTGGTCGACTCCGGATCTTGTGTTTCAGAAAGTTTTCGGTCTTGAAAAAAAAAAAAAGAATTAATATAAAACATTTACTTCTATTGTTGTCTTAAAGTTGTTTCAAGTACTCCATTTAAATAAAAGCTACATCCTTTTGGTCATGATTCTGGGAGGCACAATACAAATAAGTATACAGAGAATCTATAATCCAACATGATTTGATCTGCAGCTTTCAAAATCTCAAAATATACGTTGGTATAAAGTAGGCTTATTTTTTAATTTTAAAAGTTAGAAGTTCCTAATTTTGAAGATGAAGATTATTGGAGAGGCAATGAGACACACACAGAGCTCACCTCTGCTTGTTCACTAGAGCCCTAGCTATATCAAGCTTCTGATCCAACTTCCTACAAGTGCACTTGGGAGGCAGAAGATGGCCCAAGTATGTGGGCTCCAGTCATCCACCTGGGAGAACCAGATGGAGTTCCTGGCTTGTGGCTGGCCTAGCTGTTGTGGGCATTTGGGGAGTGAACCAGCAAATGGGACATCTCTCCCTCCCTGTCTTTCAAAGAAATGAACAAATAAATCTTAAAATCCTTAACATCTATTTCATGAATTGACAAGTTTGATAATATTTTCTGATTTAGGATTGCATTAAACTTTTAAAACAATATGATTTTGGGTCCGTGTGGTGGTACATGAAGCTGTTGCCTGAAGTGCCAAGCATCCCTTATGCGTGCTGCTTTGAGTCCTGGCTGCTCCGCTTCCAATCCACTTCCCTGCTGATGCACCTGGAGAGGTAGTCCAAGTGCTTGGGCACCGGACCCTAGGTGGGAGACCAGGATGAAGCTCCTGGTTTCAGCCTGTCTCAGTCCTGGCCTTTACAGCCATTTGGGGAGTCAGCCAACTGATGGAAGACTTTCTCTCTGTGGCATGTCTCTGCCTCTCTGTACTCTTTCAAATAAACAAATATCTAAAACACAAAACAATACTTGAAAGTCATGCATTGTTTGCAAACCTCCAGGATCAACCCCAGAATACAAACCCTGTGTGCCTTGTTTTCTGAAAACAGATGCTATTTTCTCTGTTATTTAGAAGTAAAATGGATACTTATACTTTAGCATAAAGGAGAAAAGTAGAACCTATTCAAGTGAAATGCCTTACTCTGGCTCGTTCCAAGCTTTTTATCTGTTCATGGAATGCCGCTGGGCTCTTCAAAGCTGTAGGGAGAAAATAAATAATTTTCAAAGTATAAACAGAGGAGTTCATACTTCAACCTCACACTACAGTATTTACCAGTGACAATTCTGTGAATTCAATTCTGCAAATCCATTACTTACTAGTCCCCTCAGGAGATTAGCTAATGTTAAAACCTTAAATGCTACAAAATTAAAATTCTGTATTTCACACACATCAGAGAACACCAAGTAGACACTATAGAGTTCGGCACACAGGGCAACACAGTAGCAGGCTAGTTCTGATCACTGCTGAGGCAAGTTCCCATTGCCCACCGGACTGTCTGATGCGGCCTTGGTAGGCTTTGCTCTCTCTGCCATGGAAGCCACTGGAAGGAACCCAATGTCCTCAGACTGACCTAACCTTGAGCACTAGCTTTCTCAGGGCTGACTACGGGCTTCCCTTTACTCTGCTGTCAATCATGGTTCTACTGCTGGTGATCTGAACAGCAACACTGCAAAAAAGCAGGGATTAGTTTTAGTGTAGGTGAAAGGATCAAAAAGTTACCTTGAAGGATGCCAGTTAACATGGGATTCAAATATAGAAATCTAAATTTTAGAATTTGTAATATTTCTACCATCTCACAATACAACTCATCTAAAGGACATGATGACTTTAACCTACTGTCAACAAATAAAATATTCTAGAATGTCAGTGTGAGGGTAAGGCATATGTACCAAAGCATTACCTACTACCATTATCAACTATTTGTACCAAATCTTTTTTGTAATACCCACACTTACACCATGGGTATTCAAAGGAGTTGTTGGGATCCAGGACTAGGCTCCAAGCTGGCACCTCAAAAATTGCCACCCAGCTTCTAGAGTGTCACTTTGAGTTTGGTACTGAAGGCGTACTAGAGACTCCTGTTAGCGCAGCCCACAGCCAGGTCGGGCATCCTGCCGTTAACACAGCTCTGAGAAGCAGACCAGAGCTGGCCTGACAGCAGCGACTTCCACGTCACCATGGGATTCCACTGGATTGACTGCTTCATTGCCAGGCACAGAGACAGACAAGTATGGCAGATTGTCCAGTTTATTTTTATTTTTTGTCTTGCTTTGTTTGCTATCATGTTAGATTTAAAATATTTAGGCACTCAAGAGTAGTCCAGAATAAAGTTTCATTGGGAAAAAGGTCTAAATATCTACTTGAGAAGAAAAATAGTTGCTAATCATAAACCAAGAAATGGTTTATGTAGGTAATGATTATTTTCTGAAGACTGGAAGGTACAAATTCATCCTATAATTTCTTCCTACTGTCATTAAGTCTGATATATTACATCTTAGAAAAATTAATTTTTGGACAACATCCAAATAATCCCAATGGCTTAAATAAAATAATCATACTTCCATTCTAAAATACAAAACCAAAGTTAGTGATCAGTGCACTCAAGAAGATAATCTGGACAAATATTCTAAGATTAGTCGTCTGAAAACAATGTCCCTTGAATATTCTGTGTATATTTAGGAAATACCTGTACTAGGGCCAGAAAAATTTTGTTAATTACAGATAAAGTATTTATCAGTCCTGTAAATACCTGATACAAACTCATACAGATCAGAGTACAGCAAAAAACTTGAATTAAATAAGATTAAAGTTTTGACTTTTCACCTGCTACTTTTACAAGTGAATGTCAGATTCACTAATTGTGTAATAATTCAATTATTTGTAAACTAAAACACATGCTAGATTTTGAAGAACAGATGCTAGCCTCATTACAATGCTTTATGAATATTCTTTGTATAATATAAAAATTTAAGTCTATTTTTAAATCCACATCTGGTTTTTAACATGCGTTCTAAATTCTCTGCTTAGGCTGACCAAACCAATGCCTGGTTCTTACTGAACTCACTAGGAGGAGTAAACTCCAGGTCAGTAAGAGGACACAGTTGACAGCACTGTGGGGTACAGATCCTTGGCCACGCCCGCCCCAGCACACTCACGTGGCATGATGCCCTGGTCCACGAGCTGCTCTCTTGTCCTCCTCTGCTGCAGCCTTAGCTGGAGCACTGTCAACAGAAAGAAGCACGCTGGAGTTTAGTGGCAACTAGGGGACCAACTTTCGTGATCCCAGAAGGAATAAAATGAAGCTTCAGTAAACTTCTGTTTCAGAACAGAGCAAGGGTACCGACTTGTGAGAAGAACACAATCTCTTAATCCTGCCTGTTTGGTGAATCCTAAAGATTATTCAGATTAAACCTCAATTTGATGGCGAAGGCTAGGCATTTCTTAAATACATTCACAGAATCTGAAATTCAATAAACCTCTGTGCAATTATTGAAGCTAATCTCATCCTACAAGTTCCAAGAAAGCCACAGATCCACAACCACCTTAATAAGCACTGTAAATTATTAGATGGCAAAAAAACATATGTCACAGAATGTGGACATCTAGTTTGCCAAATTTAACCAAATTATTTTTTTCCCCTAGATTTCTCAAGCTGATTTATTTCGTAGCATTTACAAGCATATGCCTGCATCTGGAAAATGAGCCGATTTCAAAAGGGAGGTTCAAAAGGGAGGAACATACAGAGTGAATCTGAAAAATCCTTTTCTTGGCTTGCCTTATTTTTAACTTTGTTTCTACTTTGGTTTTTGTTTCAAAGTACAGATGGAAACTAAGGTTCAAGTGAATAAGGTCAAGGCTCACAAATAGCTTAAAAACAAAGATGACCTCTCATGTTTCTTAGTGCGGGAACAAGAGGCAGTTGTTCCCCTCTGAGGATGAGGAGCAGAACCTGCAGCGCTGCCATGCCTCGTGTCTGACATGGGCCATGGTAACCACAACCAGGGCACAGTGTTACACACACAGGTCTAAGTCACAAGATGGTTTTTAAACTCATGTGTTGTCTTCGGCAGACATGAATGTTATTGCTTACAGGCTATCAAAACAATGGCTTCAGGTTTTTGTTTGGGGGGGGGGGCTCACAGGATCACAAAGCTTCACTGATGATCTGTATAGAACCAAAGCAAATGACATAATGGTCCTGTTACAAAAAACCCCATGACAATTGAATACAGTGAAAAACGTGGGCTTTTCTGACATGAGGATGCTCTGAGATCCTCTGCATTATCTAACACAACGCTCTCTTCCCTGTGACTTTTGGGTGACTGAGGACAGCAGGTTCTCATTGGTCTTCACAGGGAACAAAATAAGCTAGGAGCTGTGGACCCAACAGCACCTGCATGCTTGCACACACTAGCACTCTCCGGGAATGCTGAAGGTAATGCCCGCCTACATTTACAATGGTCATGCTCAAGTGGCAGAATGCCAGGAAAAGGAACACTGAGAGCAGAAACTGTCCTGCTCGAAGCGTGACACTCCTGGAACACGATGTTCTGCGGCTGCTAGTTTTCTTCAAGGGATCCGAAAAAAGGGAGTAAAAGAAAAGGTAATGGAAATATAAACAATCTTGGCTTTATGTTTAAAATAAACCAAATCAAATCAAAAGCAGTACCACACATACTTGTGAGACATATGCACCAAACACATTTTGAGGTTGAATGACACCTTTGAATGAGATATGTGTTTGCAACAACCTGATTTGCAAAGCACACACTAATGACAGCAGCTCACTGCGCTTGCAAACATCTCCTGATTGCATGTTGGTCTTCTCAGGCCTTTCCCCCAGTTCAGCAGACGAATCCCTATGACCAGAAATCACACTTTCATGCCAATTTGCAAAGTCACCTGCTACAATGAAGGAACAGAATGTCACTCTGATCTGTTTCTAGTCCACTGCGATTTTCCACTCCTCTTAAACCAACTCGAGGTTAAACAAGTGAATTCTACCTGGACACTGTGTACCTGGAGTGAGCCTCCACTCCCACAGGTGAAAGGCTGCAACACACCAGTCACCAATACAGGCCACCAGTCAGATGCCAGTTACCAATATGGGCTGCCCACGCTAGTAAGCTGGCAGATCCCCATAAAGTCCTCCTCAGGTTCACAAATTCACTACCATGGCTTCACAGGACTCAGGAAAGCACTTTACTTACTATTGCTGCTTTATTATAAAGGACACGATTGAGAAATAGCCAAATGGAAGAGGTACAGCGGGCAAGTTGTGGAGCATCCATGCCCCTTACAGCAGTCACCCTCCTTCTGACCAGGCCTTGGTCTGCTGGGTGATCGACTTCCAGCTTCCACTCATCTCATGAGCAGATAAAAAGCACTGCTAAATTCCTGGAAATTCCAAGCATTTAGAAAGAAACTCTTGCATCAGGAACTAAAGACTAAGAAGAAATAACAGAACATGCTCTTGTCACTCAGCTGCTTGGGGAAGTGTAAATACTTTCTGAATGCTGTGCAAGGAACAAAGGCACAATACATGGTTCTGACAAACAATAATCATAGACACTAACTGTGAGTGGCTGTGTTTTCACTTGTGTTTTTCATCTACTCTTCTGTATGCCCAAACCAGTAGATAACCAAGCTGACCAGATTTCATTCTGCAGCTGCACACCAGAGAAGCCCAGTCTGGCCCTCCTGGTCTGGTGGCACAGCTGCCTACAAATCCAGCCTTCCTGGCAACAGCCTCATGTCTGAACACTAACCCCCCAAATCATCCTCCTGATGCTCGGCTGAGTAGATGGATTGTTATTGGGCTAGTGCAACAGTCTCCATTTCCATCAGCAAGTTGGCTAACACCCAGGATCCTGCAAACAACCGCACAGAGCACAGGGAAAGCCACTGAGTCCTCAGGTGGGAAGCACAGGGACTGAGTATCTGTACCCTTTCAGACATAAGTAGTAGCAGTGAAACGGAATTCATGTTATAATTACTCACATTTGCACCTAGATGATATGTTACTACATTAATCTCTTCTGTTTTTGTCTAGGTATAACTCTCCATTTTCTGCCTCTACACACTATAATCATACTGTACATATGAAGCATTTTTATTATTTTTATGAGTATTTTGCAAAATTTATTTACCACTTAGCCTGTTTTGGATGTTTGCAAACATAATACTGCTGTGATGAAATTTTCATATGTAACAGAATCTAAATTCCTGGAAAGAAGAATATCCCTAAGGGATTTAGATTAGACATGGACAAAAAAGCAAAAAGGCCATTTTTCCCTTGTAACAGCCATCTTTTGAAATAATGGATATCTTAGAACATGAGTAAATATGGTTTTACATCCAATTCATTTAGAAAAAAAAAACTATCAAATTCTTCCACGATGATTTCTTGTTATCCAATGAAACTATAATCATAGTTCCCTATTCCATTTCAACAAACAAAAATGCATATAATTTTGAAAATTTTACTTAATGCTGATTCCTTATCACAAGAGATAAAAATGTTATATCAATGGAAATGTTGTGGGTTTTATTTTTATGCAAGTAAATATTTGATTTTAACCAGAATTCTACAAGTTTAAAAATAGATCCAATGATAAGCTGGTGCTGTAGTGTAGCAAGGAAAGTTGCCTCCTGCAGTGCAGGCACCCCATATGGTTGCTGGTTTGAGTCCTGACCACTCCACTTCTGATTTAGCTCCCTACTAATGTGCTCTGGAAAGCAGCAGAGGACGGCTCATGTGCCTGGGCTCCTGCACTCACAAAGGAGAACTTTCCAGGGCTCCTGGGGCCTAACTTCAGACAGGGCCAGCTCCACCCTGTTGCCATTGGGGGAGTGAACCAGTAGAAGCAAGAGCCGTCTCTCCCTCTCTGTGTAACTCTGCCTTTCAATAAAAAACATTTTTTAAAAAAGAAATTGTATTCTTGGGCCTGGTGTGGTAGCCTATCAGCTAAAGTCCTCGCCTTGAATGCGCTGGGATCCCATATGGGCACTGGTTCTAATCCCAGCAGCTTCACTTCCCATCCAGCTCCCTGCTTGTGGTCTGGGAAAGCAGTCGAGGGTGGCCCAAAGCCTTGGGACCCTGCACCCGCGTGGGAGACCTGGAGTTAGTTTCTGGCTCCTGGCTTGGGATGGGTGCAGCACCAGCCGTTGCAGCTGCTTGGGGAGTGAATCATCAGATGGAAGATCTTCCTCTCTGTCACTCCTCCTCTTTGTATATTTGCCTTTCCAATAAAAATAAATGAATCTTAAAAAAATTATATTCTTTGCACCACAAATAGTTTATGTGCCAAGAAAGTATCTTCTTTTAGTTTCTTTCCTTGGCTTCTAAAATGGCCAAACATGCTTCCAGATAAAAATTTTATAATCAGTTTCCAGTGTAAAAACCTTAAAATACAATAACTTCTACATAATACTTATATTCCAAACACTCCAATCCAAAATTGTCAGCTACTTTTCAAAGATAGTGTATCTATTCTCTTCTATGTAACAAAATTTGAAATGTTTCTTTAATGATATAATTAAAGCGCTATTGACTCTACCGAAAGAAATAAAACACACCCACAATTGTGCAGTTTTTAATAAAAGACAGCAGTTTCACATGAGGGGAAGAAGCTAAAACAAAGCACAGCTTTGGCTCAGGAAGTCAGCAAGGGGACACCTGGGGGCCGTATGCTACGCAGACTGGGCAGAAGCGATCGTTTCTGGGAAACAGAATGGCAAGCAGCCGTGGTCTTGGACGTTCTTTATAAATAGCCAGATTTCAGTTATGAGGAGCCAAGGCGAGCAGACTGAGGAGAGAGGACTTTGTGTATTCCTTCATTACAGGATGGACAGAATAAACTGCACAACCATGAGGGATAAGAAAAAAGATAACAGAAATGCAAAACTTGAGCAGTCATGCGGCCAGGTGAATCTAAGGAGAAAACAAAGATGGAGGTCGCAGAATACTCTACAACTTAGTGTGTTGGCCAGACCAAAGGGCAGAGCCTGGCTTCAATTATTTGTCAAACATACCTGCAAGTATTAGAATGAAACGGCTGGACTTTGGCAAACACTTGCTGTGTATTACTGCTTAGCTAGCACTAAATCAGGGGGCAACAGGGCAACAGAAAGCCAGCATCCTCTTGTATCTTTTGTGTTTGGATACAGGATGGATTAATTAGCTTCTATTCAATCCTTGTTCTACTCAGTGGCAGTTTAG